CCCGCAGGAATGTTGCTGCCCTTCTCAAGCCATATTTGGGTGTTGGACACTAGAGTCCCTTCCTTCAGCTGGTTCTCCACATGGGCCACGCCCGGGTCCCCTGCACTGACCAAAGAAGGAGCAGGCTGGCCCTGGCCCAGGTAACCAGGACCAGGCCGTATATGGAGTGTCTCCCCAGCGGGCTGCCCCTCCCGACCCGCCCAGTTGCCTGCCAGAGTTGGGTGGGGCAAGGGCCCCTGCGCACCCACTGGGCTGGTTAGTGCCCCTGCTCTGGAGCTGCACCTGTTTCAAGGCCTCCCTGCAGTCTACCTCACACCCACTGGGCACTCCAAAGGTGCTGACAGCTGACCTCCTGCTCCCCTCCCCTCCCAGCTCTCTTCCAGGTCCCATTGCTGCTGCAGGCAGCTTCCTGAGGAGCTGGCAGCCAGGTGGGCTCAGAGGGGAGCCCTCCAGGCAGGAAAGGAAGGGAACCCTCCAGGCAGGGAAGGAAGGAGCCCTGCGGGATAACCCCCTCCCTCCCTAATCCAGAGGCCTGACCCCGACAGCCCCTCCCCACCCTGGAGGCCACTGAGGGGAGGGCGTGGGGAGGGCGTGCAGCTGTTGCCGGCAATTGGCGTGCAGGGCGGAGCAGTGGGAGGAGGCGGGGCTTGGCAACAGGCCTTGAGGGAGCCAATGGAGTGTCACAGCCTCCAGGAACTCTTGAGGGGTGAAGGGTGGCGTGTGAGCCCCCTCCTCCAGGACCCCCAACCCTGCATGGCTGGGCTGAGCTGGCATCCTCCTCCCACCTCCTCAGTGGCCGCTGAATGTGTCCCTCTCCTGGGGTTGAAAGAAGGGTCCTAACCTACAACTAGCTAGGCCTGGAGGTGGAGGAACGGTCTGTGTGGGGGGCGTGTTCTCACTGAGAGGACCCATGCTGGGTTCCGCATGGCAGCGGCCCTCTCCCGCAAGGGCTGAACAAACCCTTTATATTTAGAGGATGATGTCCACTGGCCAGGCTGCTCCCAGTCCACCTTGGAGTCACCACCTGCCAGAGCTGTGCTGGGGCTATTTATACCACTGATATATGGGGATCTGCCTTTGCGTTTCTAGGACTTGGATCTGCTGTGACAAGGTGGAGCGGGGTCAGCGGAGGTCATCAGTGGGAACTTGGCTTCATTTGGTGGGGTACAAGGACAGCCCAAAAGGAAGTGTTCTGTGAAGAGCTCAGTGATGGGTGCAAGCCAGAAGGGAGGCCCTGGCTTCTTTGCAATTCAGTTCAGGCTTGGTGTGGAAGGAACAGCGAGGGTAGGAGAGTGCCCTGGTGGGAGTAGCAGCCTTCCTCGGGTTGGCACTGCCATCCAGCAGTGGAAAGGGGCCGCCGAAAGCTTTTCCAATTACTCTGGAGAATGGGTGACCACATTTCACTTTTAATGCTAAATCGGCCTGCAAGAGTGGGTGGTGGCCAGAGTGCACTGTATGTACCTCTTAAAAGTAAGTGCTGTTTGGGCCCTCGCCAGGTAGACCTGCCTCTCCTAGGGCAAGGAATCTGAAGGGGGAGTCCCTGAAAGGCAGACACTGACAGCCGTGAAGAGAGGCCCACCTGGCACTTCATCCATGTGACTGCTGGCTTGACAGGCCCCTGACAGTCACCCAGGGCCCCAGACCACTCTGGCCTCTCAGTGGCCAACAGACCAGAGACTGGTGGAGGAGCACTCAGGTTCAGCCACACAGCGCAGCTCCCCTCTGCTGAGCAAGTCACTCCCGCACAGACCCCAGCTCAGGGAGAACCCAGGCCTTGCGTGTGAGGGAAGGGCTCCAACACTGACCTATACTCTTGGCACTTTGAACACTTATATTTTGACAGGGGCTCACCAAGTTGCCCTAGTGGGGCTCTGGATCTTCTCCAAGGAAGAGGCAAAAGCTTCTTGAAATGCAAAGAAAGGACTTCAGGAGCAGTTGTCCCCTAGAGAAGACACTTTCTCTCACAGGCTACCCATCCACAAGTGCAGGGGATGGAGGCTCCAGCAGAGAAGGCCTGGTCCTTCTGGCCTCTTCTTCCCCTAGGATGGCTACCTCCAGACTGAAGATTCAAATGCAGTGGGGCCCTCTGAGCCCCTTCCCCACACCCAATGCACTCTGGGGTCAAGCAGATCCTGATCTGCCTCCCCTGACTGCTAAGTGACCTTGGGTAAGTCATTTCTGGAAGGTTCCAGCATCCGCAGCTAGATCAAAGTGTTCCATGGGACTGAGCCCAGTTGCACTAATGAGTGCCTGGGCCCTGGGTGTCCTTCCTCCAGTGACTGGGAGGGCCTGCGGGGGCGGGGGGGAGGGGGAAGGGGCTGGAGAGGTCAGGGACAGTGGTGGAAGGGCCAGTGCAACATTCACCGTATTTAGAGCTTGCGCAGATAATTCTAACATTATTAAAAGTGACAAAACCCAAAACCAATAAACGTCCCATGTTTCAACTTTGGGAGTGCAAACTATGGCACACGCCTATAATCCCAGTGGCTCAGAAGGCTGAGGCAGGAGGATCACAAGTTCAAAGCCAGTCTCAGCAATGGCGAGGTGCTAAGCAACTCAGTGAGACCCTGTCTCTATTAAATAAATAAAATGCAAAAATAAGTCTGGGGATGTGGCTCAGTGCTCCTGAGTTCAATACCCAGTACCACTCCCCCCGCCAAAAAAAAAAAAAACACCCTCTTGAGGACTAAGGCATGCATTCCCAAGGGCCAAGGGCTGTTGTCAGGGAGTGCAAAGACCTTGTGGCCCACAGAGTCTATGTACACAGAGGACAAAGTGGACCTGCAGGGCTGAGCTCTCCCTGGGGTGGAGATAGCTGGAAGAACATCGAAACTGGCTCTGCAAGAGGGGTGGTATCAGTGGGCTGGGGCTCAGCAGCAGAGTGCTTGCCTAGCAAGTGTGAGGCACTGGGTTTGATCCTCAGCACCATATAAAAATAGACAAATAAAGGCATTCTGTCATCTACAACTATAAAAAAAAATTAAAAAAAAAAAAAGAGGGGTGGTATCAGGAGGGGCGAATGGGGACCAGGGCTGCAAAGCAATGGCCAAGAACAGAGGAGAGCTCACACCTGCTCCCACAAGAGGCCACAAAACAGAGGTAGACAGTCCCCGTCCTCCTTCCCCATGGAACCACATCCCCTTGAGGGGGGTCTCCCATGTGGCCCAGGTCAGCCTCAAGCCTGTGATCCTCACAACCTCCTGAGTCTATGGGTTTCCTAGTGTACCTGGCTCCATACACTATAAGAAGCATTTCAGTTTCTTCTGGCTGGGGGATTGCAGGGGGTTATGGGTTGGATGTAAGGTGTCCCCCAAAAGCTCCTATTAATGCCAAATTGTTCAGAGGTGAAGTGATTAGATCCTGAGCTGTCATCTAACTGCCCATGCCAGTCTGAATGGATGGACTGGGTGGTGACCGCAGGCAGGTGGGCGTGGCTGGAGATGGGCATTGGGGCTGTCCTGGATGGGTCCATCTTCCCTGGGCCCACCCCTGCCCACTTCTTCCCTCAACCACACCACTCCTCTCTTCCCAGCAACCGAGGAATAAATCTCTGAAACCTTGAGCCAAAATACTCTTCGCCCCTTTGTTGTTCTTGGGTATTTTGGTCTCAGTGATGGAAAGGTGACGGATACAGAATCTTGTTTCCTTCCTACTTTTAACTTTTTATTTGTGTGTGTTTGGGGGGGGGGGGGATACTGGGAATCAAATTCAGGAGTGTTCTACTTCTGAGCCACATCTCCAGTCCCTTTTTTCCCCAAATGTGTTTTCTTTCTTTCTTCACATGACTTTCCTAAATACAGGCTTTCCCTTCCTCCAGTGCTTACTGGGCACCTGGCGTCTGGTGAGTGCACTGCTCACACGCAGCAGGCACTCAGGGTCTCAATAGCATAGGAAGAGAGCTCCTCAGCAGGCCCCAGTGTGCTCGGAAGGTGCTGGAGGCCTGGGATCCAGACCCGGCTCCAGGCTTCAGGCTGTCAGACAGCTCCTCCACTTAGGGCCCAGCTGGTCTGCCTGTCCTGGACCCCCTCACATACCCCCAAGGCCAGCTACTGGAGTCACTGCTGCCACCCGAGGCCCCCAGTGGGCCTTGACAGTGTGTACAAGGCAGGCAAACACCCTCCACAGGATATGGGTTGCACCCAGAGTCATTGTCAGTTACTTGATTTACCCAAAATCATTTATGATAAAGAGTGATATGGAAGGCAGAAAAATGTATTTAAAACCATGTCTCAATTCCATTTTTACTGTTCTGTCCACTGTTCTGGAGCTTCGAAGCCCAAACAGCCAGGGAGCAGCCTCCCTCCCTGCCAGGAGGGCCACACCTCACCACAGAACCCTGGGGCCTGGGCATAGGCCTGGCTTCCCGTGGAACCCTTCCCTCCTCACACAGGGGATGATTGTGATGGCAGGTGGAGGTGGGAGGAGCCCGTGTCCCCAGAGCACTGTGTCATCACAGTTAATGTCCTGTGAACTGAAGCTTGGTCTTCTAGCCACTAACTTGTGACAGTACCTCCAACAAGCTCCTAACCTGGCTCTGACATGGGGCTGCCAAGTTCCTTCCCAACAAGCAATGGGCAGGAGGGACCGCAACTGGGCTCTGCACCACATTTGACTTCTGACCTTCTCAGCTGTCGGGCAAGCAGCTAGTGAGACTCGCCTGGCCAAGAGTGGCTGGCCAGCAATGACTGCTATTTTGCTTTTATCTAAAGCCAGACAGTGCCCAGTGACAACTGGTTAGGACAGAGAGCTTGGAGAAAACGAACCCCAGGGGTCTCCAGCATGGTGAATGGTGGTGACAAGGGCAGCCACGGTGAGGACTGAAGGAACTCCACCAGCACCAGACGACCACCCACAGCGACAGCAGGGTGTGGGAGGTGGGGGGGGGGGTCAGAAGGCAACACCAACTGTTATCCACTGAAGTACTTTCACTGAAACTCATTCATTTATGTGCAAGTTAAAAATGCTCGCAGTGACTTAATTAGTTATCAAACTCACATGACTTAGGCCCACTGTTTTTTGCTTTTAATTCTGTGTTAAGTCAGTAAAATTTGACATTTATCTTGCTAGACAGGTATTTCCCACTAGTCCCAACCAAAACAGAAGTCAAACACCCCAAATCCTCTCCAGTGTCATAAACATCAGAGATACTCCAGGGCCCTCCTCACTTTTAAGGGTCATGGACCCCCGAGGCCTAGAAGTGATATGTGTACGTGCAGCCAGAACCAGGATGAGAGCTGCAAAACACACTGGACCACGTTACAGAGAACAGAGAGAGGGTCAGCCGGGTATGGCGGCCTATGATCCTAGCACCTCAGGGACTGAGGCAGGACGACAACCAACCCAGGCAACTTAGGGAAACCCCATCTCAAAATTTTAAATAATTAAGAAAATAAAAAAGGCTGGAGATGTAGCTTGGTGGCAGAGCGTCCCTGCATTCAACTCCATTACCACAAAATAATGAAGAGAAAGGGCAGTAAATGCACAGACAACTGATATAGATTTCAGTGGAAAAAGAGAAAATGCCACATAAAAAGCCAAAATCACAGTACAGCAAATTATATCAGCTTTCAAATACAGCACAGAGAAAGTTCTGCTGCACGTGCTACCACAGTGCACTAGCTCCCCAGTGTTTAAGGCCTAAAATTTTTATAATTGTACTCAATTAATTTTATAATTGGACACACTTTTTTTTTTAAGACACACTTAAAATTTTATAATTGGACACACTTGTACAGATCTTAGAAAGTGACCAGTTGTAGAAAACTTTACATTTGTCCCTGGACGTAATATTCATAATTTGCTTTCAAAACAAACTCAAAGTACGGGTTGGACTTGAGGCTTCCCAGCTGGTCTGCCTGCAGCAGGCCCTGCACCTCTGGCAGGTACTCACTGAGCCGGACGCCTGTGGACAAGCACAAAAACACTTTTACTGCACAGAACTCTCTAGCATACTGTGGCCCGTGGACCAGGACCCATGCCTGTTCGAACCGCCCCCCTGAGGTCTCCTCTGCAGGTGGACAGCCCCTCCCTGCAGGCTTCAGCAGATGTGGAGTCTCTTTCCCACAGTGTAGGTCACACTTAACAATCACTTGAAAACAACATTGAGTAGTTGCTTCCCCAGCTGGGAAACCCTTTGGCAGAGAGGCTGTCAACAGCACTGGTACAGTGTCTCTGGGGTAACAGCTGGGGGCTAACCAGCAGGCAGCACAGCCTCTGTTGGCCTGCAGAGGCCACACCAAGGAGAACCAGCCAGATAGGCCAGGCAAGGTGAGGTCTCCATGGGTACAAGAAAGCATGAGAAATTTCTTCATTTGACAAGTGAAGAAAAATGAACAAAAATTTTAAATTAATAAGACAAAGATATAATTTGTTACAGCACCGTAAGTTCTGAAAACCAGTATTGGTTTTAAAAACAAAGTCCTCCCAGTGTCTAGCACCATTTTTTTTTTGTATTTCTCACAGAAAGAAAATATGGATTAATAAACGTTAGAGGCTAAATCTGAAATGTGTATGTTACTTACTGCCATTAACACACTTTTAGCAAAGACCTTTTCTCTGTAAAGCATTATTACTCTTGAGAAGACACCGCCTGGGTGTCAGAAGGTCAGCCTCCAGAAAAGCCCACCTTGCATCTGGCTTTAGGGCACGAGGCCCGTCCTCCTCCAGGGCAGGGGTTCAGGAGGCTGCATATCTCCTTCCCCGTGACTGTGACCAAGCCAACCCTTGGCCTGCTGTATACAGCCTTCAATCTTCAAGAGAAGTCAGGAAACAATACTGATAAGCACCCCCAATGAGCAAGTGTTGGCAGCTGCCTAAACAGAAACCTCAGTGCTCCCCAGGGGACATGGCATCTCACTCCACCAGGCAAGGTGCTTTGTCACCAGGGTCACTTTCTCATCTGTAGGATGAACTCAGCCATAGGTTGTAGCCACCCTGGGCCCCCAGAGCCCACACTGCAGTGTCAGCTCACATTGGAACCTGTTCTTACTTGAGAGCCCTGTGTGGAAAGGGCCCCAAAGGCAGGACAGCTACATGCCCCTCTAAGTTATAGGAGCTTCTCCTGGTGTCCGTCTGTGTACAAAACTCAACAATTCCGTGTACAACCAGGACTTTCTGTTCTTGCTCTCTCTCTCTGTTCCATCATTTACTGGGTGTGGGTGCTGAGCACCAAGAACTCAGCTCTACACATGTCCATGAGCACCTGCTCACAAGGCTGGGCCCGAAGGCCTCCCGAAACTTATCAGCTCAGCTAGAGCCTCTGCAAGTGCAGAAAGCTGCCATGTCCAGTGTCTTCCCAACTCCAAACACGGAGAGAGAAAAGGCTCACAGACACAGGTTAGCTCTCATGAACTTCCAGCAAAAGGCTCTGCAGCTCAGAACACTGGCTGTGGGGCCTGGTGCTTCTCTGGGGTCCCTTCTTTATGTGGCTAAGCCAGAGACCCTGGCCTATGGGAATGCCACACAGGATAGAGGCATGGCAGGAGGACCTGGTCTAGAAGAGCTGGGCACACTGATGTGCACATGATTCCACATTTAACAACCAACATTCTCTGAATGACTCCCACATGCCAGACAGCAGGCCAGGCATGTTGTGTGAGAATGCACCATGTATTTTGCAGGTTTGTGCACTGAAGGCGTTCAGTGCATGGATGTGCTGACTTGATGAACAGTTCTTTCATGCAGGAGGGCCCTGGGCTTACCATTGTGCACCCCTCCCAATGATGATGGAGTGTCTCTGCCTGGAGCTCAGTCTGTTCTGCACACTGCCTGGATTCTGGCACCCCACACCCTGACCTCATGATTCTACAATAAACATGAGTCATATTTGTTTTCATGTATAAAATGTGCAGTCTCTCATCTCTTGACCAATATTCTGAATATTTTAAGCTCCTGGAACGTGAAAGGCAGTTTATAAAAAGCTTGTTTTCTCAAATTCACCTTTCCCTCAAGAATGAGCACTGGGGGCTGGGGATGTGGCTCAAGCGGTAGCGCGCTCGCCTGGCATACGTGCGGCCCGGGTTCAATCCTCAGCACCACAGACCAACAAAGATGTTGTGTCCGCCGAAAAACTAAAAAATAAATTTTGAAAAATTCTCTCTCTTAAAAAAAAAAAAAAAAAGAATGAGCACTAGAGGAGGAAAAAAAAAAGAATAAGCTTATTTACCTATTTATCACCAAATGAAATTTTGCTCACTGCCTTCGGCACAAAATACACAAATAAAACACATCCCTGTCTTGTTTGAAAATGAATCCTAGTCTTAAATGGATTTGTACAAATATCTTCTAGTTTGTTCTTAAACACGGTATGGCCAGTGACCCCTCATAGCTCATAATACACCCCAGAGCTCATAGCTAATTCCAAACCTTCAGCCTTCAAAAGATTTAAATGGAAAATCAAGAGAACTCTTACTGCCATCAGTTGCAGGTTTGGGGAGTCACACCAGTGGTGGCCATGGTGTCCCTCCTGTATCACTACTTTGCTTTTCTTCTTCTTTTTTTTTGGCATTGGGAATTGAACCCAGGGGTGCTTTTACCACTAAGCTACACTCTCAGCCCTTTTCACTTTTATTTTGAGATAGAATCTCACTAAGTTGCTCAGGTTGGCCTCAAATTTGTGATCCTTCTGTCTGAGCCTACTGAGTTACTGGGATTACAGGTGCATGCCACTGCATCTGGCTGAAACTGCTTTATCTTAAATCCACTGTCATTTGACATCTTGGCAAATACCCATTATCCTAAGACTTGTAAACTGAGAAGTGATACTGTGATTTTAAAAAATTTTTTATACCAGGGATTGAACCTAGGGGTGCTTCACCACTGACCACATTCCCAGCCTTTTTTATTTTATTCTTGCAAAGTTACCTAGGGAGGGCCTTGCTAAGTTGCTGAGGCTGGCTTTTAACTTGTGGTTCTCCTGCCTCAGCCTCATGAACCACTGGGATAACAGGCATGTGCTACCATGCCTGGCTGATACTGTAATTTCTTTTCTTTTTAACACAATACCGTTGTTTTATGTATTTATTTTTACGTGGTGCTGAGGATTGAACCCAGTGCCTTACATGTGCCAGGCAAGCGCTCCACCACTGAGCCAAAAAACCCAACCCCTGATACTGTGATTTCTAATGGTAACAAAATGCTTACCATCTTTTAAAAGTTTCTGCAGGATTTTCACAAAGACACTGTCTTTAGACACTTCAATTGGATCATCTTTACCATCTGAACTGGACCAGCTAGAAAACAAAACACATGAAGAAAATAGCACCATCACTCTTGTGTCCCCATATGGATGTAATGGGGATGGACAGCGCTCTCTGTGATGGTGGTCAAAGCTGAATGACAGGCCTGCAGTGTGGACATGCTTCCAGACACCACGGACCTCTGACTTCCAGACACAGGAGGAACCTCAGACAGCATATTCCAGTACATGGGTGACGGTTACGAATTCAAGCCTGTCTTCCACTGCCTGGGCGGCAGAAGGGAGTTCCTCCTCTAGGGGCTCACATGGCCCTGCTGTGAAGTGCTCAACATGCAAGCCATCAAACACCAGCACCAACAAGAAGCAGGACAAGGCTCCTCTTGGGTGCCTGGGATAGGACAATAAACTGAGGACCACAGAGCGGGTGCTTGAGCGCCCCAACAAAGCTCCTCCAGGGCCTGGCTGCCACCTCCCAGGACCACACCTGGGCCCAACTCCCCTGGGGCTCATGTCTGACCAGGACTGCCAGGGGTGGAAATCCCCCTCTGCACAGGCAAGAGGGCTGTGGCCTCCCAGCCTGACTCAAGCAGCAGGTCACATTCTGTGGCAGCATTGCAAGTAGCAAACTGCGTGAGCATTTCCTGCTGTTGAGCACCGGCACCCCCACGAAGAACAGCTGGATCGGGACACGTACTCGTCCCTCTGCAGGGCTCTGCAGAGGATTTCCAGCTTCAGGTCGTCAATGTTCACGTCTTCATCCTTCATAGCAAAACAAAGCATCCTGGTTATATTCTGGCTGTCACAAAGAAACAGTCTTCAATTTTATTTATGTCAACTCCTAATCCTGCATAAATAGTGTCTTTGCTTTTAATATTGATACTATAGTTTATCATTTTTAAAAACTCCCTTTGAGACATTAGTTCTGTTTAGAAAGGGAAGCCAACTGCATTATGCAAGTTAGCTTTGGATCACTACACTCCAGGTCATCAAGAACTGCAAGAGATAGATTTTTTTTCTTTCTTTCTTTTTTTTTTTCATGGTGCTAGGGATTGAACCCAGAGCTTTGTGCATGTGAGGCAAAGCCTCAGGTTAAGGTTATTAAATGAGCTTGTTCAAAAGCTAACCTTGTGGGACTGGGGCTGTAGCTCAGTTGGTAGAGTGCTTGCTTAGCATGTGTGAGGCACTGGGTTTGATCCTCAGTACCATAAAAAATAAAATAAAGGTATTGTGTCCATCTGCTATAAAAAAATATTTTTAAAAAACTAACCTTGGGGGCTGGGGCTGTAGCTCAGTGGTAGAGCACTTGCCTAGCACCTGTGAGGCACTGGGTTTGATCCTCAGCACCACATATGAATGAGCAAAATAAAGGTGCACTGATAACTAAAAAAGTGTTTAAAAAAAAAAAAGAAGCTAACCTTGTGTTTTTAAGATCCACCAAACAACTCCCATTCACCCTGCCCTAACAGAAGGCCTTCCTACAGAGCAGCACCATAATCTTTTGAAAGTGAGAACACTCCCCTTAAGGTGAGCGCTGTGAGGAAAATACCTCAGAATACTGAAAAGCTGCAGTTATCTATCTGTGCACTAGAACATGAGAGTTACCAGGAACCAGAGCCCCATGGCAGCTCTACTCCAGGCTGGGGCCTGAGAGCCGGGGCAACTGTCTCACCTCTTCGATATACTCTAGCAAGTCCAAAGCCTTCTTGAAATCATACTCGTTGGCTCTTCTGTTTTCTTCACAGATGTACAGCTGCAGCAAGTTACACGAGGCAAGTCATTCTCAGCTATCAGCGTAATGCCAGAGAACTTGGGAGAAGCCACCCTGTCCTACAGTGAGCTAGAGGCTTTTAAGGCCAAGAACCACGACCCAGGTGGAGGCCAGCGAGCTGTACCACAGTAGGCTGGCCTGGTGAGGTGTGTGTGTGGGGTGCTGGTCTTCTCAGGAGGAAAGAGCACTGGCCAACTTGCCCATGCAACCCCCTCCCAGCCATACCCTCGGGAACACTTGGTTCCCAGAAAAGGGGCATAGGCGGCACCTGTGAACCATACAAATCCTTTTCTGAACTATTTTGCTACGGAAAACTGAAGAGTGACATTGTAGAGGAAATATCAGTTGCACAGTGCACTCTTCCAGGAAAGTGAACTACAGGTGACTCCTCCTGGTCACGAGAGGTGGATCTGGAGGGCCAGGGGAGCAGCCCGGGGAGGTAGAGGCTGGCCAGCACACACTGGGGTGTTATGAGCACGGGAACAGGAGGTGCAACACCTACACTGATGAGCTGTGGAGCTGTCAGCACGGGCATGGCACCGAGGCGCAGCTGTCTCTCTGCCAGCAGCTGCTCAGGCAGGGTCTCCTGGTGCAGCAGGAAGCGCTCCTGCTCAGCCATTGCTGGTGTTCAAGGACAGAGAGGGAGAAGGATGAGACTTTCACTTCTGCAGTCACAAAGCAAAACCGACAACAAAGAGCTCTAGAGCCACAACATTGCTACGTCACAGCACTGCTGCACAATGACCTCAGGATGCCACCAGTACTGCTTTTTCCTGGCTGCTTCAAGAGGGGCGGGGCCCAGACTTTAGCCCCAGTGTGGCCCAGCCTCATCCACACAGGGGAATGGGGCAAAGCCACCAGGGCACAACAGGAGAAGAGCAGTGCCTGCACTGACATGAGGCCAGCCTACTGGCCAGCACACAAAGCCTCTGCATGCGCAGACTCTCTGGGCTGCTAGGTAGGCATTGCTGTGCAGTCAAAGTACCTGCAGCACCACACACACTCAGTTTTTTAAAAAGCATGTTTGTGCACTTCAATATCTAGAAAAGCAGATCCAGAGGGCAGCTCAGGGAGCGAGAACCTATTACAACACAACTTATTTGGTGTGTTTTTTCTAAAATTTACAGATTTCCCATATGGTTATTTATTTTCCCATATAGTTATTCATATAACTTTAAAGTCATTACAACAGTCTGCAGGGAATCCATCCGAGAGACCTGAAAATAACCACTGTGTAGACCTCAGCCTGTCCACACAGCAGAGGCCCCTCCTCCAGGCCTATTTACTTCACTACTTGCACATGTGTGACAGTGGTGCTAGGGGCTTAGCTTGGAGCCTTGCACATGCCAGGCAGGCCCTCTACTACTGAGCTACACACACTCCGGGCCCTCTTCAATTTTTATTTTGAGAAAATTACAAATCTGTAGCTTCTGCGGGACCTGGCATGTCTCTGGGCGTTCTGCCTGGCCCGCTGCTGGACGGTCTGACTACACACATCCCCCTCTCATGGAGGGTGCAGTTGTCATGGCACACCACGTCCACAGACTTCAGCAGGTACCACCCGATCACCATGGTTCAGAGTCAGGCCCACAGAGTGGACACAGCATGCTACAGTCACCTAGTATTAAACACATCCAGGCTCTCTCAGTGGTTCCCAAATCAGAGGTGTGACCTAAGAGCCAACTGCAATCTCTGGGTGATGGCTCTTGGGTTCCTATGATCTAGGGCTGCCTGTCTTTTGCATTGCCGAAATGTTAAGTGTCCAGCTGAGTACGCTGTAAAATGTTCTGCCCTTGAGGCACACTGGCTGCCCCCTTGTGACCAGATTCAGGATGAACACTTCAGGCAGAAATAGGCAGGCGACAGCAGGTACCACTTGTCACACCACCCCAGGAAGCGTGGGATGTGGGCTGTGTCTAATCTGTGTACCAACACTCTGAAACCCGGCAACATCTTTCACCAGACCCTGAACTGAACGGGCCTGCCATCTTTTTGAGATGGGGGCCTTGCTAAGTTGCCTAGGATGGCCTTGAATTTGCTCCTGCCTTCGCCTCCAGAGCTGGTGGGACTGTAGGCATGTGCAACAGTACCCGACTGATTCTAGTGTCTTTTGGTGACCAATCATTTGCTGTAATTGCAAAGTGGTGACATCAACCACCCTGTCCATATTAGCTGTCAATTATTTGTAAAGAAGCATTTTACTGACCCCCCCCTTTTGGGGAACACTGTGGATTCATGGACTTTTACTTTTTTTTTACACACACACACACACACACTCTCTCTCTCTTTTAATTAATTAATTAATTATTCTGAGACAGTGCCCTAAGTTGCTAAAGCTGGCTTCAAACTTGTGGTCCTCCTGCCTCATCCTCCTAAATTTCTGGGATTATGGGTATGTGCCACCATGTAAAGCCCTGGCTTTTCTTTCATAAACTGTGACATGCAATCCTTCGCCACCACCTTGACACTGAGAAGGAGCTCTTCAAGGCTCTTGTACTTTCTGACCCAGCAGAACCCTCCTAGGTCACCTGGTCAACAGCCCCGTTTCTTCTCACTGGAAACTGGAAGAGACACCAGACTGCACAGGGCTCGTGGCATGGGACAGTGTGGGGCCCTTCAGACAAGACCCCACCGAGATCTGCAATTTGAATATGTAACAGTTCTCTTTCATTTCACACTTGTGACTCCCTTCTCGGTTCTCAAAAACAAAACAGTATTTCCTCACTTCTTCTACAAAACAGCTTCAGAACTGCACCAACAGCACGGCCTATGAGAAGCCCCATGTGAAGCCCGAGCTCTCTCTGCAGTCCCACCTTAGAATACTGTTGCCAAGCGTGCATAACCAGCCTTCCAGTCATGCTCACTTGAACATACACACATACATATATATATATATATGTATATATATATATATATATATATATATATTGTATCAGGAATTGAATATAGGAAATGAAGGGCGCTTAACAACCAAGCCTCATCCCCATCCCTTTTTAAATATTTTTATTTAGAGACAGGGTTTCACTGAGTTATCTAGGGCCTTGCTAAGTTACTGAGGCTGGCTTTGAACTTGAGATCATCCTGCCTCAGCCTCCCAAGCTGCTGGGATTACAGGCGTGTGCCACTATGCCCGACTTTTTATTCTTTAGGAATTCTGGCTTAAAATACAAATTCTTTCCAAAAAATAAGGATTTCAAGCACATAACCAAGTAACTGCAGGAATGTGGAGTACACAGCGCCTTATATGAGAGAGGGCTACGCACACTCCAGGCGCTAAGCAACATTGTGACCTTTACCAGGCTCTCCTCCAGTTTCATTCTTACCTTCAATTTTTTCTTGCAATACATCCTCTGAAAGGTCCGATGCTAATGCAGCCAATTTACTCAAGCCAAGAAGTGTTTTTTTCTTGGCAAAATAACGAGTCTCCATATTTGCCAAACCCAGAAGCGTTGCATGAGCCTACAATAAACCACAAGAGGCAGGGTAAGGTCCTGGTGTCAACCTGACTGGGAAGCAGGGCTCGGCACACCCTGAATGCTGCCTCCCCTGAGCTGAGCCCATGATGGCACACCAGCAACCAGCACAGCCAGCCTGCTTGGAGCCGCAGTCTCAACTAGGCAGGCCGCTGGGTACCTGCCAGGGGAGTGCTTTACTCAACCAACTGGAATGAGCTAGCTCTGAGAATATTCTCATTACAATAATGGTTATGCACGCTTGGCAACGACTGCTCCAGAGATTACTGTTTTGTATCAGTAGCCAAAGCACAACGGCTCACTTTTTTTTGAGGTATTAGAAGTAATGACAACGTCATCATAAATCAATAATGCCAAATTTATCGAATTATTCCAGAGTGGGAGGATTTAATAACCTGTAAGTACTACCTTCTAAATTTGTAAACATTGTTTATTATAAGTTGACAAAAACAAGCACATACATTTATGGAGTGCAAAATGAGGTTATAACACACACATACAATGTGGAACTCTTAAATCAGACCAATGAACAGCTCCTTTACCCAAGGACTTATTTTCCAGGATAAGAATACTTGAAGTCTACTCCCTGAGTGCACCGCTGTCAACTGGCAGCACGTAAGCAGCACCTTTCCTCCCTGGGCTGCAGTTTGCATGGTGGCTGCAGCCCTCTGCCCCTCACCTTAGCCTCTGCTAGAGTCTGCTCTCTGCTTGAGTGACTCCGTGCTGGACCCTGTGGATGGGAGACTACAGTACTCGTCACTCTAGTCCCAGCTTATTCCACTGAGCAACAGGTCCACCAGGGTCACCCATGCTGTAGCCAATGGCAGATTTGTTTCTAAAACTGAGTGTCGCACCACCATGCACGTGCCTGTCATTCACCCACGTGGATGCAGCTAATCCCTCAACTTGGTCGCTAATATAGTCAGTGCACAAGTGTGGGTGGCACACTGATGTCACATTGTCTGGGGACACCCAGAAGTCAGCAGCAGGATGTGTGGCCACTGCTGATCTCTGAGCAGCCCCAGCACAGCCCCCACTGGCTGCATGGGGGGACACTCCCACCGAGACCAGGCTGAGGTTCCTTCTGCTGCCTCCTCCCCAGCACCATTCTCCTGTGGTGCTAAGGAGGCTGCTCTGTAAGGCATGCACTGGCCTGCAGGACTGCCCTGTACTCGCTGTGGTGATACCAAGCGTGCTCCTCTGTGGCATCCATACCACTTCTCTTCAGAAATGTCTACTCAGGTCTTCTGCCCATTTTTAAGTTGAGTTCCTTGTATATGTCTTAGACACAAACCCCTGCTCAGGAGCACAGCCATAAATAGTGGTTGAATTACTAAAACCAAATGAATTCAGAACACACCAACAGCTGCACACACCCATTTCACACAACCGGGTCCTTCTTACCTTTTCCAGCTCTTGGCTATTAACCTCGTGTAGCCAGCTGAGATGTTCATGAGCTTGCAAAAAACTTGCCAACTGTCCATGTTGAGAAACAGGCTGAGACAATAACTTGCCCCGCTTTCCTTTTTCCAGATACCAACGGAAGAGAAAGTCTGAAAAATTCTACAAGTCACAGAGGTGAGAACCCATTACTGCTTGTCAGTGCAGCTCTAAGACGCTCTGGCATGACAACAAAATGCTAAGCAGCTTCCAAAGCCCAAAGTAGGTTCTCCTTTTAAGCAATAATTTCCTATGCTGTTACCACATCGATACGTATTCCTACGATAGTGATTTTCCTGTTTGCCTAATTCAATCATCTCACTGGACAAGCCAGTAGGCTCAGGTTCAGAAGGAATCTCATTTCATAATCACTGGCTTTGCTACTGGCAGAATTGGAATGTGCACAGGTTGGTGAGGGAGCTGTCAGCCATGAGTAGTAGTTAAATTTAACTAATGTTAAAACTTCAGTTTCTCAGGCGCCGGCCAAGAGCCTCAGTGGTCAACAGCCACGTGTGTCCAGCTGCTCTCTCTTGGACAACGGATATAAACATGATCTCCACCATCACAGAGCGTTCTACTGGAGAGCATGGGACTGTGCCATCCCCCAGCAAGGCCTCGCAGGCAGTGCCATGCGGATAGCCACGGGGGCTGGCATGGTGAGTGGGAATCCAGGCAGGCCCCCAGGAACCTTGTGCTGGGCACTGGAATGCGGTGCACATGGACTTGAAGACCAGGGGAGAGTTAGGAGATATTCGCACCAGAGGTCTCTTCCCAAAAGACATGAGACCAGAAATGAAGCACAATGGTAGAGGTGGTGACAGAGCCCTGGCCACCTCCCTGCCGCGCTCAGCCTCGCACTGCAACTGCAGAAGGAAAGGGCTGTCCCAGGAGAAAACACTCATCCCACCACACTGCTCTTTCACCCCAAAGTCCATGCCACAACTAGAAACCACAAGACCAAAGAGGAGGTCAGCTGAGGCTGACCCAAGAGTGAGCAGGTTGTAAAGTCAGCAGGGCTTGAAGATAATCACAGAACACGTTAAAGGAAATGTACACACGGAGGGAAAATGCCCACAGATGATCAGAATCCATAACAAGAATTTAAAAGTCACAATGGGTGGAAAGCACACAGTTCAGCACTACTGTGAAATTCTGTACATGAAGCGCCCCATAGCTGGGCCCTGACCACACAAGGAGCCAGTGAGGTCCCACAACACCCTATAGATGCCTGGGCCCTGAACACACAAGGAGCCAGTGAGGTCCCACAACATCCCAATAGATGCCGCTGTGGGTCACAGGACGCACGGCACCTGCTTGGGCTGCACTAAGTACAGGTGCTGCTGTAGATACAAAACGATGGCACCTACCCCAAGGCCCCAGGGACAGATGGAAGAGAGCAGCCTGACCACAGGGTGGCCCACCACCCACATGCCCAGCGCCTTACCTGATCGGCGAACTGAGTCATGTAGCGCTGGAGCCTGCTCTGGTTGTCAGTCTGCTCACACAACTGTACTAAGATGTCAAAGTCACAGTACTTCTCTGCTAGAGAAGCAGCCCACAAGTACTGGCCCAGTGTGACTGAAAATGAGAACAGAAGGAAGAAATCCTGTTAGCAAACATTAAAGACATAGTGAAAACAGTACTTGAAACTTCCCTGTGTTCATACTGCACACTAAGAATAACCAAGGGGACGGGGACCTTTCTGGCTGCTGGCACTAGTTTCCTAATCCATATGCACTGCCAAAGTGCAGACACAGTCCACTGCCTCCCTGCAGCTTCCAGACACGATGCTGTCTCCCACTTCCCGGCCAGCATGCCTGGCCCTCAGCTCCACAGCATGCCTGCTTGGCCCTCCCCAGTCATGCCACACTCTGCTGTGAGGCTGCTCCTGCAATGCCCGAGAACTGGGCTCTTTAGGTCACTGTTTAATCAACTGCCCTCTTTGGTCTATCCCTTGGGCCTTGGGGTGGGTGCCATCTTTGTGTGTCCACAGTAGCATCTGTATGTACTTGGTGTAGCCCAAGCAGGTGCCGTGCCTGAAGAAGGCTGACTAAACACACAGGGACAGCAGTAGTGTCTGCAGCACTCCGAGTTCTTGGATAGGGCGGGGAAGACACCACCACACTGGCCAGGCTGCAGATCCACTGCTGGACACCTATAAAAGCTTAAATTGGGCAACAAAGAAAAGGAAAGACCCTTGGTACTCTTGGTTTTAGTTGCTCAATTTAGGTTTTCCCAAGGTGTCCCATATGGAGGCACAGGGACATATGGGTGTCTGACCCCTCCTTTGGTCCTGCACACTCAGACCCAGAGCCTCCACAAAGCACCCTGCACTCACGTAGAGGAGACAAGAGGTCTGAGCGTCTCTGCAGGTACTCCATTTCCAGGCTGTTATATCTCTCCTGGTCACTGGACCTGTCCAGAGACTTCAGCTGTGAAACATAGCCATCCAGAAAGCAATCAATCAGTGCAACCAGTTGCTCCATTAGGATGTTGCGGAGATTGCTGTCTGCCTGCGGGTAGACAATCTTCAGGATGATCCCGTGCTGGCGCACGATAGCGGTTCGGATGCCAGCGGGCCCACTTGTTGCTGTGGAGTCACAAAGAGTTGTTGGCTGTCAGGGTTTCCCAGTGGCTGAGGGAAAATCAGTTGCCTAAAGCCCATGTGATATCACTGCTACAGGGAAGCATGTTTGTGTGCAGGTGACACTGGCCTGTGCCCTGAATGAGCCGCATTCCCTGTGGAGCTCCCCTCAGCAGTCAGGCAAACCGCACCTTCTTCCTTCTGAACTCTGCCAAAGCTTCGGCACCTCCTTTGTGGTGCTACGTCAATGTAACATACAGCCCATTGCCTAGGGCCAGGCCTGTTTTTGGGAGCAGCTACTTGTACTGAGATACCAGTGGTATCTACTACTTGTACCAGTAGATGTACAGTGAGTACCAGTTAAAACAAATGCTGGGGGAGTTTACAAGTGCATGCGAAGGAATGAGTAGCAGACCAGCACTGTCATGCTGGAGGTGGCACTGGGGTTTATTCATGCCACTCACAAACCTGTGCTCAAACATAGCTGCCAGCAGGTCAGGCTGTCAGGAGCACACTGAGCAGGCCCACCATGTGCCATGGGGCACATGTGGCTTCTGCTCCTACAGACTTGCTCTGGGGATAACGGGCTGTAAGGAACACCCTGTGAGCAGCAGTATTCTACCTGTCCATGGAACATATTCCGGTTCTTTTCCTCCTGCGTCTTCTCTCCTGTACAAGGAGCTTCTATTTTGGCGATAATGACTAGCAGCCTGCAGCATGTCCTGAGAAAACGAGACATATTATCACAGACAGATGTGACATGGTTTTACTTTTCCTTTTTTTGTGGTTCTGGGGCTTGAACCAGGGCCTCACATGTGGCAAACAAGTGCTCTACCACTAAGACACAGTGCAGTCCAGATTGATGAGCTTCAGAAGGATGATCTGAAACACCAAAGTCTATTCTCAGGCCAGATGTGGTGGCCACAACTTCGATCTCAGTGACTCAGAAGGTAGAGGCAGGAGGATCACAAGTTCAAGGTTAGCCTTGGTAACTCAGCAAGACTCTCAGTCTCAAAAATATATAAATTTAGGGCTGGGTATGTGGCTCAGCGGTACAGCGCAGGCCTAGCATGTGCGAGGTCCTGGGTTCGATCCTTAGCACCACATAAAAATAAATAAATAAAATAAAGGCATTGTGTTCAACTACCACTAAAAAATAAATATAAAAAATACATAAATTAATTTTAAAAAAGACCCTGCCTAAAATAAAAAAGGGCTGGTGATGTTCAGTGGTAACTCACAGAATTCAATCCCTAGTACTGCAAAAACAATAGATACTCAGCACTTTTGGTTCTTTCTGCGTTTTTTTTTTGTACCAGGGAACCTGAACTTGTGATCCTCCTGCGTCAGCCTCCTGAGCCACTGGTGTGTGCCACCATGCCTGGCCTCTGCCTTTTTATTGTGGTACAAGAGACTGAACTCAGAGTATCATACATGTTTGGCAAGTGCTCTACCACTAAGCCACACCCCCAGCCTTTTTTTCTCTTTGAGACGGTCTTGCTAAGTCAATTACAACAGAGCAGGGACAAGGAAACCACCTTCTCATCTCTCCCTCTCAGGCTCTGGGCCACTGATGCTGATGCAGCTGGACTACCTTGAGAACAGTGTTGACGTCGACGGCCACCTCCGCCCACTCGAGGGAGTCCAGCGCCGTGTCCCTCAGGACCTGCTCCTCGTGCTCCAGCAGACATTCGCAGATGGTATCCACCTGGGAAACCTGAGGGCAGAGTCACTGCTTAGCACAAAGTCATGGAGGCTTGGGGACAGCTGTGCCATAGCCTTAGTTTCCAAGAACGTCCTCAGATCATCAGACAGGAGAAAACCTACTACCCAATAATATTGGACACAAAGTTGAGAGACAAGGAAATTAGAATCTCCCAAATTTTAAGATTGCCCAAGCTTGTGCTGTGGCATGTGCCTGTAATCCCAGGGGCTGGGGAGGCTGAGGCCCCAAGCAACTTGGTGAGACCCTGTCTCAAAGGGCTGGGGATGCAGATCAATGGTAAATGCCCCAGGTTAAATCCTCATTACCAAAAAGAAGAGCCTCCGAATCACCAAGTCTTATAAATAGGTGAAACCTGGATTGCTACCAAAAAGATTTTTAAATTCACACTCCAAGTAGCTAAAGTACTTGCTACCTGCTGCTGTGCCTCAGGGTGGGATGTGACCTTCACACAGCCCTAGCTACCAATGCTGTTCCTCTGCAATGGCAGTAATGTGCTCCTTCAGGCCCAACTGTGTTGGGTGAAGAGCTGGGAAACCAGCTCCTGGTTCCTTGCCTTCTGGTCCACACAGGTGCTGCAGCAGAGCACTGGACAGGTTCAGGCTTGCTGCCCCAGGGAGCCCCCCCCACCCCCCACTTGGCCCAAGCAGAGCCACTCTTGCAAACCGGAGCCTCCACCTGACCCAGCCACAGGTGCTGGAGTAGCACAGTTACTTTTTGAGTAGAAAGGTAAGAATGTTTATGCTGTTGAGATGGAAACAATGGAGCCATTCACTGTTGGCTGCCCACAGCACAGATTTCACCTTTGTGCACTCAAACCTCAGACTAAAAATGATGGGAGAAAAAAAGTTACAATGTTGCTCAAGGTAGTATGCAACAGGCCTACAGGGTTAGGACTGTACCCAATATGTAGACTTTAAAAAAATTATTCCTTAGGGGCTGGGGTTATCCTCAGCACCACGTAAAAATAAATTTAAAAAAATTATTTCTAAAACAATACACTACTTAATAGTAAATAACTGCACTGGGTTTTATAAGTAACCAGAGAAAAATTAAAGTGAGTGGGGAGGATATGTATAGGTTCTATGCAAACATTACCCTGTATTATACCAGGGACTTGTGGATTTTGGCATTCATAGGGTCCTGGAACTGCTCCCCTGTGAACACTGAGAGATGACCAAGGTAAGAAATCAAGCACACTCACTGTACCCACATAGCAAGTGTCCACCTTGGTGCTCTCGAACACACGCTGGCCTGAAGCTGCTCCCAGCCCCAGGCGGTGCCACTTCCCCAGCTGCAGAGGGGCCATGCGGGAAGAGAGCCAATAGTGCAGGCTGTCAGTGCACTTTCCATCAGGCCGCCAAATAGGACACGCTCCACGTGTGGCCCTCCACCAGAGGCCATCAGGGCTACATGCCTACTCAGAATGCAAACTCACCACCCCACATGGACAGACTGCACATGTGAGGTGTTCACACACCCCTCTTCCAGCAATCCCTGGCAGTGTGGCCATGCACAGGGAAGGCGAAGGAGGCTGGAGAGCAGCACACCAGGGTGATGGGGACGTGCTGAAGACACCTTCATGTGGCACAGTATTGTTTTCAGTTTGGCTGCATGGTGCTCCTAAAGAGCTACTCGTGAATTATGTACCCAGTTAATGACCTCCACTCAGTTGGCGGGAAGCTATATATGCCTTACTATAAATTCCCTACTGTGCTCTGCCCTGCAAGCCAAATGCAGGAAAGGAACTAGACTCTTGCTCAGGTCTTTATGATAGTTTTAAAATCTACTATTAATGATATTTTTTAAATCTTTGCTTACCCCATAAAACCATGCTGGAATAAAGACCAAAGAAAACACCAAGGTTACAATTTGACTTGTTAATTAGGAAACCTGAGGTGGATTATCTTTCAATTTTCTGCCAAATTTCTTACATTAAAAATTAAAACAGAGCCAAAAAGTGCTACTGGGACACAGCTTAGAGGTGGAACACTTGCCTGGCACACACGAGGCCCTGGGCTCCATGCCCAGAACTGCAAAACAAAGTGCTACTCCTCACACTCCTTAGGAACTAACCAACCCAGCGTCTAAAAACAGGAAATTCAAGCTCAACACATTCCCAAGACTGAACAGAAAGTCTGAGTTTAGGTGAAAGTGCAGCAAGCACTAGAGAAGAAGAACCCAGCCCAGCCTGATGGACTCGGACACAGCCTGGCTGCAGGAGTGGAGAGCCAGAATCAAGGTGCCAGCAGAGCCTGATATTCCAGATATCACAGGGGTGAAGGAGGAGCTGCCCCCACATCTAAACAGACAGCACTACAAAAAGAGATGGCATGAAGTGGGCATCAGCAGGAACCCAGGAGGGAGCTGAGGTGGGGTTCACTACAGTGACCACTACATAGTGGCAGATAAGATCCAGGGTGCAGCCTAGGATGGGTCAATGCTCCCGGTGAGCATGATCCACCCAAGCGGAGGGGGACAGCCACTGGGAGGCAGAGGATATGCAGATGTGGCAGGTGAGAAAGCTGAGAGAACAGCCACTCCACCTCTGGCCTCTGCAGTGACCCACATTCACAAGGGGCCAAGGCTGGAGTCCCCAGGGAAGGCTAGCTTTCCGAGGCAGCCAGGAGGGGCTGTGGAGGCAGGAACCCCCAGGTACCCAAAGCAAGCAGGGAGTACATTTAGGTCAGCTGTGCAAGCTCTGTTACAGAGCAGGTAACAATGAGTTGACACCTGAGGGGCAGTGACCATAAAACTGGGAGTTTAATTTAAAATGTACATAGGGTCTTCTAAGATTCAGTTTATCCTCACTCTGCCCTGTCTGAGAACGATCAGCAAATGGTGCCCTCTGCAGATCCAAGAAAGCCAGACAAGGATGCCTCTGACCTCACGGAAGAAGACGTCTGCAGGCGTCAGGCTGGGTGGGATCTCCCGCTCCCTCTTGCTCAGCGCCGCCTGGATGGCAGTGTTCACAAGGTCTGGCCGCCGTGAGTGGTGGTTCTTGAGAGCAATCGCTGCAGATAGCTTTTCCGCGTGTTCACAGAGCAGCCGGCGGGTTGCCATTGGTGTCCCTCTGACTGGAGATGTGTGCAGACGCCCAAATAGGCCAACCTTGCAAGAAGACAAGCACGTGTCCCTGAGACGACGCTCACTGCAATCTGTAGCCAGGGCAGCTTGTTCCCTGCACCTGCAGCCACCTGGTCAAGCTTTACCCAGGCAAGGCTGCCAGGAAGCCTGGACATGCCTGTTAGGGCCACCCGAGTCCACCCTAGATATCCTTAGTTCCTGGTCGTAGTTTTCAAAATGGTCAAACTATTCTTTCCCACCTATGCCAATCACCTCTCCTGTACCTTCAGGGCTGGCTCCAGCTCATGGCCTGGCATGCTGCTGCCCTGCACACCTGCTGGCTCCCACCTGCTGAGGTGGCTTCTGGTGGGTTCCTGGAATCCAGCTTTCCTGAGCACTAGAGGAACGACCACAGAGGAACCAGGAAGCAACCAGGACACCGTGGCCACTTTTCCCTCTCATCAATTAGCACCTGCTCCTCTCACTCTCACTTCCTCATCTGCTAGCAGCTTCCCTTTTCTAAAATACAAGAGGTTTCATTCCACACTGCTGTTCTAAGGATTTTATTTTTTCATAACATTTAACGACAATAATGATGGTAAAGATTTTTCTGGCACACAAGGTTAAACCCAGGGTTCCTACTGAACCCAATCCTACTAAGTCAAACCCCATCCCCTTTTATTTTTTGTCTTGAGACAGGGTCTGGCTAAGTTGCTGAGGCTGGCCTTGAACTTGGGATCCTCTTTGCCTCAGTCTCCTGAATAGCTGGGAGTACAGATGTGCACCACTGTGCCTAGCTAGATATCTTGCGTGTGTGCATGTGTATGTGTGTGTGTGTGTGTGTACCGAGGATGGAACTCAGAGGCACTTGACCATTGAGCCACACCCCCAGCCCTATTTTGTATTTTAGAGACAGGGTCTCACTGGGTTGCTCAGCACCTCGCTTTTGCTGAGGCTGGCTTTGAACTTACAATCCTCTTGCCTCAGCCTCCCAAGTTTGCTGGGATTATATACGTGTGCCACTGGCCCAGCTAGAAATCCTTTTTGTTTTAAAATATTTATTCTTAAGTTTTAGGTGGACACAATATCTTTATTTTACATTTATGTGGTGCTGAGGATCGAACCCAGTGCCCCCCTGCACGCTAGGTGAGCACTCCACCACTGAGCCCCAGCCCCATATCCATTGTTTTTAACGAATGGAATGTTTTGCTGAATCTAACTGTTGTAATTCAGTCAACCTGTTCACCTGATTACCTTAAAACATTATTTTAAGAGTCACTCAGTCATTTATGATTTGAATTTATCCCTCAACATTCTGTCAGGTGCAGCTCTTCTATAAGGCTCCTGATGCCTGCATTTGATGGCCCCTGCATATAGCAATAAGTGAAGCAGGTGGGGCTGGGCCCACTTCTGCTCCTGATAGCAGACACAGGACCCTCCTTATCAAAGTGGGTAGTGGTGTCCTTAGGTGCTGATCTCACTCCCACCCTCAAAACAAGGACATAGCCTCATTGGCCATGTACTGGTTCAAGGGAGGCAAGAGCTCTGTGCCAGAAGTGTTTCCTTAGAGGTCCTGGTCCCACATACTTCCTGCCTGTTACCACAGCAGTTCCTCATCAGAGACAAGATGTAAAGATGGAAGGTAATGAAAACATAAAGGCAGAGCCAGAGAGGGGCTTCCAGACCCTATCAGGTGCTGCCAGTGACTGAGCCTCCATTCGGGTCTCTGGGCCAGCAAAGCCACAAGGCTCATGTGGTGGCCTCTGATAAGCAGCCTGTCCACATGTGGTGCCCCACCCAGCATTCACACCCTCAATAAGGTGACTCCGCCCTGCAGAAGATGCTCTGGAGATGTGTGCTCTGCTGTGACCAACATCACCTATCAGCACAATGGGAACAGACCGAAGTTCTTCTATGAAGGCACGCAGCAAGCCTGCATGAAACCCTGTTTTGAAAGAAGCTGGTCTGATGAACACAACAGCATCAAAGCTAAAATGACAAAAAAGCTGATGTGGCATTTCTTTGGAAAAGTGCTCCTTTCTTCTCTTAACCTAATTTTCAAGGCAGTGGTCACCCTGGAGTAGCAGCCTTCACACGCCCTGGCTTGTTCATTTCTGCGTCTGCACAGGGAATGGGAACTCGAATCAGGCCACTGGGAGTGCCAGAACAGAGTGGGCACCCTGGGTGTGGGGCACCAGAGCAGCCCGAACCCTCAGGGACTCTCACCTGGTGCAAAAAGTCCACCAGGAGGCCATGGGCTTTCATCTTGTCTTCCAGCTGGTGGAGGATGATCAGGGAGGTGTTGCTGAGCCCAGGTGCCTCTGTGAGAACACAGAAATAGAACCCAACAGAGCTTTCAGAATCACCACGGCTAGTCAAGTAGGGTGTGAAAATACCTGAGAGGACAGGGCCAGTCCTTCGAAATAATTATTTACATTACTCCATTGTTTTAAAATTTAGAGAGAAATTTGAAGGGTTTGACAAAATTCATATTGTACTTACTCAAAACAAGAAGCATGCTCTGTTTAGTTTAAATACTGTAGTTATACGTTTGACAGCTTCAAAGAAACAGCTATGGAAAGGAGCTGGGCAGCAGGGCTTTCATCCCACGTCTGCCTAAAGCAGGACCATTAAGGATAGCACTCTGCTTCCCATGAACCACAGAGGGGCCTCCATGCTGCAGAAGAGCTATGTGTTAGGGAGGTCACCCAGGGCAGGCTGGAGGACATGACATGCCCATCTCTGGTACCAGACTCGCTGGTACCTAGGAGAGTCTGCCATTTCTGTTAACCAAATACACAGTCTGCCAAGACCATCATCTGATCTGGAGCCTACATGCCATTGAGTTCCTCCAGAAATAAAATGGAAGGTGCAAAGCAGCCTGCCTCTGAAGGAGCAGTCAGTGCTTGCACCCATGTTCCCCTAGATGCTCTTCTGCTATCTAGATCTACCTTGAGTCCTGTTCAAGATCTACTAATGAGGACAGTTACAACTTCTAAAATAAAATCAGGCGAAAATTCTCAATTGTTTGAGAAACTAAAATATAGTTTCTCCTCAAATGGGTCATTCCTCAAAGTCAAACTCTTCTTACCTTCAGGAACAGACTCAGCCCACCGAGGGTCAGAGGCTGGGTAGTCATCCACCACATCTACACTGATTTGGGTAACGGCCCTATCCAGCTCAGAGTCAGAATCCAAGTCGGAGTGGGAGGAAAACAGCTCGTCAACCGTCATTTGAGCATGACCCAAGTCTTTCCTGAAACAAATTGGAAAAAAAAAAGTATGAAGGGAGGCAAAACATTTCCAAAACTTACCATGGAAAATTCCTCAGGAGGTTCAAGTCCTATGTATGGGTTTCAGCCTTTAAAGTACTGTCAATTATAACTAATTACAATGGGAAACCTCAGCTGCAGCCATGAATCCAACAAACACACTGAATGCTTGCAACATGCAGGCACCAGACACAGGAGTTTGAGCAATACACCAAGGCCCTGGGCCTCAGAACGCACAGTGTCAGGGGGAATCAGGCAATAGCCGGCGATGGCTACATGTGTGTAGCACCGGGACAGGGAAGGACAAAGGCCACTGAGCCTGCAGAGGGGCGGGAAAGCTGCCACCTGAGGCCTGGCAGGGCCGGGAGGAATGCAGCAGGGTGTATGCTGCTCACAGCACACATCCTCAGGGCAGTAAGGAGGCAAACTGTGGCAAAAAGTACCAGGACCATGGAAGGCAGTAGGCAGAGCTGCCATGGCCCATCCTTGTTTTCCAGGCCATTCTGACTCTCACCCTGACAGGTGGATAGCGGATGAGGTGGAGGTCACTGCAGGAATCCAGGCTGATCCTGCTTTGCAGCCTAGATCTGCTCGTGGTGAAGAGGCTGCTTCCCCAGGACTCCTGACTGCCTGAGCTCCCAGCCAGGATCACCAGTGGAGTCAGGAGTCTAGGGCTCAGACCAGCAGGAGGCCCTCAGGAGCAGGTGCTGCTCCTGGGGCCCTCCCAACTCAGGCTCACATCTAGCCATCATCTTATGCAGTGTCCACTGAGGGGGCTGAATAGAGCCCTCATTCTTGTCCAGAAGAACCTCAGAATGAGACCTTGTCTAGAAATAAAGCATCTGCAGAAACAACCAGTTAGGGTAGGGATTAATTTGGCCCAAATCCCACAGTCGGTGCCCTTACAAGACCCTGAGAAGATGGTCACACTGGAAGGATGGGCTGACACACCAACAAGCCCAGCAGCGGCCTTGGCAGCCAAAAGCGGGCAAGGAGGGGCTCCTGCAGAGCCTCAGAGGAAGCCTGCCCCACAGTGCCTCAATCCTGGGCCCTGGCTTCTAGAACTGAGACAACACACTTCTGGTGTTCTAAGCCACTGAGTTTAGAATATTTAGTTTAGTTCTAACCGCCACACATTGACAGGCTGCTTATCAGAGGCTATCACCAGCAGCCACAGCAACTAAAGCAATCATGATGGTGGCTTGCTGCCTTGTTTATATCTGATGGAACAGTAATAAGTGCAAAACTGGTAAGATCAGATACTCTGAATCTCCCAGGAAGCCTGAACCACGCAGCACAATGAGACTAAGGGGACCGCTTTAACAAAGCAGAAACAAGCCTGATGGTGCCCGCACATCACTAGTGGGCCTGCAGCTTCACAAGTACCACAGTACGACTGTCCATGGCCTTCAGCTGCAAGCTGGGCTGCAGGGTCCTGGCCTGAGATCTGTAGGCAGCAGACACAGTGAACTCTGGGGACTTCAAAACAGACGCATCAGCTAAACCAAGCCCTGCCAGCACCACACCTGCACTCGGCCAACTCCGCCCAGGGGTATTCCCAATCTGTCCCAAGGCTCAACAGCTAACTGGGGGCAAAGCAGGGCTGGACCGCAATCCTCAGGAGTGTCTGTTCAAATGTGAATTCACTGAGCCTTTTAAGGAAGGTACCAGAACACAGAAGTGTACAGGAAAACGCTAAGATGAACTGAGATTTGAGCCCGCCCCATGGGGCTCAGCCACTCACTGTCCCCATAGAGTACCAGCAAACCTCGTTGCACAGTGCAGACACTGGCAGGCATGGCAGTGGGCAGCAGGTCCAGTATGTCCTCTCTACTGGCACCTGCAACCTGTAAATGAGGTCATGCAGCCAGTGCTGAATGAGAGAGAGAAAGAGAAATGGGGCAGAAAGACCAGAAAAGGGCTAAAATGCTCTCCTGGTAGAAAAGCAGATAGAGCTGATGAGGGAAACACAGAAAACCTCTAAAAGCACGACTGGCCAGGTGGAACCTGGAGACCCAGGCACATTGCAGGTTACGGGGAAGAGAGAGGCAAGGAAAGCAAGATCCAACTAAAAAGCCACACAGCAATGGGGTAGGGGCAGGGATGCTGTCCTCTGTGTTTCCGTGGTGCTTTCAGGAAGCTTGGCAGGCTCGCCCTGGTGGTGCCCAGGAGCCCTAGGCTGTGTGCGTAGCTCACCTTCCCGCCCTGCGTGGTCTGGTCCTGTGCTGAGGCCTGCTGTTCCAACAGACCTGCCTGCCCTCACGATTAGGAGCTCAAGCCTGGGACAATGGTGTGCACTCCTTGTATTGTTACTCCAATTCTGCTCTGGATCTACAAAAAATTCCTGAAGCCATACATACATCCTGATTTCCCCTTTTGCTAGTTGTATATGGCCTAGAAAACCCGTACAAGAATCCAATGATACGAACGAAGGCAGAGTAGACTGTAAGGTTATGGGCAGAAATGGATTACCAACAAAGACTTACAGAAATCTAGATAAAGACAAAGACAGGGCAATTTCCCCAAAGGATCTCAATTGTTTTAAAAATGGACCTGATACTATGAAGTACTTTTTTTTGTGATTGTCTCTGACCTTTTTCTCTGAAACCAGAATTTAGGATAGACAGTTTATTTACCGATACTTAGAGGAAACATATAGTGTTTACATTTAAAACACACTTAATTACGTTTAACGACCTCATTCCCTAGTTCCACTTTTATCACGGACGCTCCCATTTCTAGTGCTGCTGGGTTAATAATATGAATGAACAGGCTGTGCCAATGAGCACTCAGTACTTCAAGTCCTTGGGCCTATAGCACTCAAATTCTGCTATCTGCTCTAATTCCAGAGGTCCTTTTATTTCACAGCACAGATGACAGCAATGTGGAACATCAGGAAAAAAACTACTGCCCAACACAATGAAACAGTTTATCCATGACAGTCAGTAACTACTGCTCATTATTCTGACCAAGATGGAAAAGATAGAAACAGGAAACTTCTTTGAAAAATGAAACATCTTTTACATAAATGTCTGATGTATTTTATAAGATTATAAAGCTGTTACATTTCTTCCATTCCTACAAATGTGCTGTTTGGTTTTTTAAAAAATTACAGAGCAAATTTCCCCAAACTCTCACAAACAAGAGTTTATATCTTCTGAGCTAAGTAAAATGAAAATCCAGATAACATGAAAAGCAATTTTAAAGAAAATGTGCACAAAAACAGTAATGCTACCTTAGCAAAAAAAAGAAACTGCCACGTGTCGCTACCCTCTGTGCCAGGGCACCTGGCAATGTTTGCAGGCAATCTGGGCGGTCCCTCTTGGGGGAAGAGGGACGGGTGCTACTGGATGGCCTGCAATTCACAGGTAGCTCCGCAGTATGCACTTGCTCCCTCGTCAATGTGCTGAGGAGCCATGGGAAGCAGAGCTGGCACTGGGTCCTAGGAAGGTGAGTGGGCCCAGCCAAGAGCAAACAGCTAGCCAGCCGAGGCCCCTCGCACAGGCCCAGTAGGGACAGTCAAGCAGCCCACCTATAGGACCCCAGCTATGCTCCAGCAGCCTCAGCGCCGGGGCTAGCTTATAGGCGGCAAAGCCCAACCAAAGACCAGTCTCATCAACGCCAGAAACTCCTGTTTGCCTGCTACACGAGGAGCCTCTGAAAGCTGTCTTCGTACACACTGCTCTCCAGGAGGTTGCGGGTGTGTTCCATAGGAGGCCCTGTTTAGCGAGCCCTCTGTGCCCACCAGGTTCAGTGACCCCCAAGTTGAGAGCCAATGCTGGCAAAAGCACTAATGCTAAAGAAAACCAACCCTCCTGATGACCCCACCCTCCATGTTGCTCCCATCCCAAACCAAGAGGTCAATAGCCAGTGCTGGCAGCAGGATGGCCCTGGTCTTGAAAACATCATACCGTACCTGCAGTACTGCAGAAAAGCAGCTTTCAGCAGCTTGGTCCTGTCTTCCTGGGCTACTGTCCCATTCTTTGTGGTAGGCTCAAAGACCATGCTCTGCAAGGACACAAGCCAGAGTTCAGAGACGAAGGTCCAGAATATTCATGATGGCTGACGGAAGAACCAGATCACCTGAAGCCCCAACACTGCTGCCTGTGCTCCAAGCTAAGGCACCTTACACCTGACAAATACACCCCACCCCCACCCCTATACCTGACACACATGCTCACACTCCCATGCCTGACATCCCTACACCTGACACACCCTACACCCCTCTAGAGATTGTACATGTACTCGGCATCCAAACACATGGCCAGTGCTGACCAACCCCCCAGGTCCTGCAGGAAAGTGGACAGCTCAGTGATCACACCCTCAGCAAAACTCCCTGGGGAGCTCAGTAAGACCAACACCATCTATAGGTCTGCTCTCACACAGCGCCACTTATCACACACCACTGAGCATGTGGGTAATTAGTACTGCCTAGCACATGTGAGGCACTGGGGTCGATCCTCAGCACCATATAAAACAAAATAAAGATATTGTGTCCACCTACAGCTATATATATATATATATAAACATTAAAAAAAAAGAGAGCATGTTGCTTTCTCTAAAGACTGTATCAAATCACTTTAAATTACAAAAATAGCTTATGTTTCATATACAATTCAAATGGAAAACATCCAAAACAATACCAAATATTTTTAGTCTCCTATAAAAGATTTAAAAAAAAAAAAACTTCACAGAAAAGGATAGGTATCTCAGGTTTCAAGATTACAGGGGAAAAGTGAGTTTTTCACCCCACTTTCTCCCCTAAAACTCATCCCAGCAAACAAAAAACAAGCACAATCTGAACTCAAACTCTTGGAGTCTAACTACCCAGGAAGAAGAAACCAGAGGGCATTGGCAGTGCTGGGACAAGCCACTACATGTGGAGAGGGTACAGGTGTGAACGACTGAGGAATAGTGCAAGGGAGCCCAGGGTGATGGCTGTGCAGATGCGGCTTCCTGAGATTTGACCATAGAAAGAAGTACCCTGAGAAGCGTTTTTCAGAGCTGCTGGAAGGTGTGGGGTGATAGATGCAGACATTTAAATAAGCAAATATGAGCTGACACTTTTCCATCCTCCAAGACCCACAGAGAGTCCTATGATGCAGGAGATGCAGTCAGCATGTTACCAGGCTTAGGAAACCAAAAGCCACGTTCACTGTGTCACTATGACGAGAGGTTCTGTGTTGAGATGGCACAGGAGGAAAAGCAAATCACCTGAACCCTCACCCCTAAGGTGGCAAAGTGGGAGACAGCAGACACACATACTGCTTGAAAGTGCAGAGGAAAGTGTCAGAAGGAACAGCGCAGAGACTTAAAAGCAGTTGCTCTGGGAAGGAGGACCAGGGCATGATGCAGATCAAAGAATGAACGTTCTCATCTAGGCTTCTTAACACATGTCTGGCTTCCTGATGGGCAACATGGGATGGGAAACCACATTACATCACTGCTTGGTCCAGCAACTGAAGATGCCAACGACTCCTCCAGCTCTTCTGCCAGCAGGGACACACTCTCCCTGCAAGTGATAGACACCAGCCCGCTGTTTCTAGAGAATAGGAGGGGAATGCAGCCACAGGAGCCCGCGCCCAGGATGCCATCTCCTGAGGGAAAAAGCACACACAGACAGGACGCTTTGTGGAGCCCACCTTGTGGGGCAGAAGCCGTGGCCATGAAGCACCAGCATACTTCCCTCCCTACTGTGTGCACTTGGCTTCTCAGCTCCAGAATCAAAGGCCAAGGACCAGCCACTGCTTTAAGAAGCAGACCCTGGGGGCTGGGGATGTGGCTCAAGTGTTAGCGCACTCGACGAGCATGTGTGAGGCACTGGGTTTGATTCTCAGCACCACATAGAAACAAAATAAAGATACTGTGTTCACCTAAACTAAAAATATGAAAAAACAAACAAACACAAAAATAAACCTCGTGCCCTCACTTCAGGATGATAAAGCCAGCCCTGCAAGACAGCAGAGCAGGGGCTCAAAGGAGTACTTCCTCTGGGAGGCTGGGACGGCAGCCCCTTTCACTCTGTGGCGCCCTCTGGCCTGATTCTGCCTGGTCAGCCACTGGATGGGGTGACTAGGCCTGCTGGCCTTAGCACGTCTGCCTGCTGCTGGTGCTCGGGGACTAGGGCATAGGCTCCATCCTCCACATAGCCCTCTGGATCACCTGGTGGAGTCGCTGTGGCCTGCCTGCACTGTGGGTGCCTCCACGCAGGAGTCCAGCATCTGGACTCCAGGCAGACTGGTTTAAAGAACATCAACTCATAAAAGCCACCCTCACTGGCACAAGTGACCTTCTTGGTCTCTTCCCCTGGAGAAAACTATCTTTCTCCATAAATGTAACAGTCTGGGGATTCTACTGTCCTTGTGGTTTCTCAGGAAGATCACTCCAGCTGCTCCAGATGTGATATGAAGTCTCAGTGACTCCTGGAGGTACTATGCCCAAGCAACATGTGGGGAGAGAGGGAGAACAACAAGGCTGACCAAGAGCTGGCAGCTGCACCTTCTGTGACCTCTACTGCACCTTGTGAATTAAAGCTGATTCTCTCCTGAGGGAGAGAAAACTTCCCAGTCCCAGTGGTGCACACGTGGACAGCGTTCTCAGTGTACAGGTAGGCGGTCTGGCTTGAAGAGTCTGGGACCATCAACCGGCACATGACCAGGTCTTCAGACTGAAAGGAGAATTTAGAAACAAAAGTACATGTTTGTATGATTTCATAATCGCATTCCTATGACAGCAGTCCATGAAATGACAGGCTAGTTCACCAGGCTCCTTGTGAAGACTCAAACACTGGCTATCAGATGACCTACAGAGCATAGCAGGACAGTTCTGTACACACTGCTATGGATGGTCCCAACCCTGGGACCCTTCAAGTTCCTGTTAAAACCTGACCCCACAGTGAGGGGTCAGGAGGGGCCTTGGGCTACTCAGGAGTGAGAGATCAGGGCCATGGTGAACCCGCCTGCCCTCCCACCACAAGACGATGCAGCAAGGGCGGCCCAGAAACCCTGGGTGTGGACCACTTCCAGCACTGTGTGTATGATTCACTATTACCTGTAACTCATGCTACATACAGCAGCCCAAAACTTTGACAAACATCAGTCAGAGCAGTTATTTGCTGAGATGCACATAATCAGCATATTTGGAAAATGTTTTCAGGTATTCCAATTACAAGGTGATGCCCACAACGAATGTGAGAGAGAAAACAAAGCTTAACCCACCACACTATTTATTGTAGGATTAGAAAATCCTTACAAATAATCCCCGGTTAACATTTAGGTTCTGACTCTTCTTTCACTGTCAAGACATCACATAGAAGCTCAACCTCATTTGGCATGTGAAGGCTTCAAGGCCAGCATCAAAATAAAATAAAACAAAAAGCACATCAAGCACAAGAAAACTGAGCCAACTGTTCATGTACAGAACCAGAGGCAGAAATGGAAATAAAGACCAAATTAAATGATAAAATTAGCAAACTGCCATTAAAGAAATTATGTTACAAATGTTACATTAAAGTGGGAACCTAAGATTTTATTTATTCTAAAATTGTTTTCTTTATATCCCTTTGCACTAGCAGAAATTTTTTTCTAACAATGAATATGCCTTTCTTGTAAAACAGGAACATTTGGTAACATTCATTTCCATTTGAAATAAAAGAACAAACGAGCCAGGCTTGGTGGCGCATGCCTGTAATCCCAGCAGCTAGGGAGGCTAAGGCAGGAGGATCGTGAATTCAAAGCCAGCCTCAGCAACAGCAAGGCACAAAATAGGGCCAGGGATGTGGCTCAGAGACTGCGTGCCCCTGAATTCAATCCCTGTACCAAAAAAAAAAGAAAAAAGATTTTCTTGTGGGATTCGGTTAATGTCATGCAGAGAAAAAAAAACAGAATTAGAAGAATACAGCGGGTAAATGCAGGGCAAGCAGCTGTGAAGGCTTCCCTGAGAACACACAGCTGAGGGCACCAGGAACTCAGCGGCATTTGCGAGCTCTGAGGAGCGCACGTGCTGCTGCCTAAAGTACAAGCCCTCTGTGGACCCTCAGAGCTCCCTGGAGTTCTGAATGGAGCCCTACCACCTTTGGCCTCCTCCTGCCTTGCACCAGTGTTTCCTGCCCACTCGGCAACGCAGAAATGGTGACCCAGGGCTGCAGCAGGGGTCACAGACTACCTACAGCACCTCTACTCTCAGTGCTCAGCCACAGGTGGGAAAAAGGACGTTGAGATGGAAAAGCCAATGAGGCAGTGATATTGGAGAGCATTTCCAAGACCTACAGATATAACTCAGAGAACAAGATCCCAAAAGTGTTCAATGGTTAGAAAAACACTCAAACGTGTTGAGCCACTTTGTAACTTGACTTACCTGAAAAGGTGGATTGTACTGAGTGACTTCTACTGTAATTGCATCTGACATTTGGTAGCCGTTATCTTCCACTGTCACAAGGGAGTAATAGACCAGGCAGGGGTTGTCTGCAGGATGCCACGCAGCTGCCAAAATCAGGAGCCCATCACTAGCCAAGGAAAAAGAGAGTCTGCAGCCTCTGGGGAAACAGCCTGGCAGGTTCTTACTAACTCAGACATGCTCATCGTGTACCCTGGCATCCCCGCTCCCAGATCCTGACCCAAGAGAAAAACCAAACACGCTCACATCATAAACTGTGTGCAAATGGAACATGACTGAGCAATGCAAGAAATCAATCCCAAATGCATTATGTTAAGTGAAAGCAGCCAAACTCAAAAGACTGTGTAGCATATGATCAATTATATGGAATTCTAAAGAGGCAAAGCTATGGAGAAAGCAGATTGATGACCACCAGGGCAGAGGGGAATTTTTGAGGGTGATGGAAGTGTTCCTCCCCCTCTCCCCTCTTCTCTCTCTCTCTCTCTCTCTCTCTCCTCCACGAGGCTCAGCAAGCACTCCACCACTGCCCAGTGCACCAGTCCTGTTTTATATCTTGACTGAGATTGTGGTTGACTGCCACATTTGCCAACTCAGAATCATACTTTAAAAATGATAAAATGAAGAAAATGATAAATATTACCAAATGTAAATGAGGACTCAATAAACTTGCCTCAATAAATCAAGAATCAACACGTCACCTAATTCAGGAATGGCCCAGAATAGTCCTCAGGCCAAAATGAGCTCAGGCCCAGAATGTAACAGAAGTTGTTCTAGGAAGCAGATTTAATCACCACAGGGAGACAGTATGCCTAAACTCAGGGCAGAGATGTTACAGTAAGGACTCAAGGGCCCAAACCCAAAAGCTATGCTCTAGCCCGTCACAGGACAGGCCTGCCAACCGGCAATCTAATCAGTTCTTCACAGTTTAGTCTTTGTCCAGAGGAATAACATTGCTTTTAATTTTAGGCACAAGTTATTGAAATGCCAGGCTGCTATATTGTGAAAAATCCTTGTTCTCATTAAAGTTATGTGCTGTTCTTACTCCTCCAAAGCTGTTGCCCCAGCAGACAACACAATGCTCTCTGATCCCAGCCTTTTCCAAACACCAAGTGGCAGTGCCAGCAACCTTCCCTCAAGCCTCAGAAACACCAACAGGGAGGCCAGCTCCCCCCACGAACAGTCACACCCAAGAACATGGACGGGCAAGTGCCCAGACGACGTGGCACTTCACGTCGTGCAACTGTCCTCAGTTCTCCCTTGCGCTCCACATCCACTAGAACTTTTCAAAGAATTAAAGAATTCTGGCTTAAAATTGTGACATACTGGCAGGGTCCTATGAGGCCCAAAGAACTTTCCACACAAGAGGGGTTGGAGCGAAGTCTCAGAGAACGGAGCCTCTCCGGTAGTCAGTCCTGCCCAGAGAGACCATAGGACAGGTACTTTACAGACTGCCCACCCAATGAACAGCCCACTTAGCAGGGAGGGTCAGGACCAATTTTCTTTGACATAGTTGTAAAGCAAGCTTCTTATATGCCAGTAAAAAAAGCTTCTCATCTGCCAGGCATGGTGGCTGACGCCTATAATCCCAGTAGCTCGGGAGGCTGAGGCAGGAGGACTCTGAGTTAAAGGCCAGCCTCAGCAAAAGTGAGGCACTAAGCAACTCAGTGAGACCCTGTCTCTAAATAAAATACAAATAGGGCTGGGGATGTGGCTCAGTGGTGGAGTGCCCCTGAGTTCAATCTCCCATACCAAAATAAATACATAAAAGTAAAAAGAGAGGAAAAAAGCTTCATATCTGAAAAACCTTGAAGCTACTTCAGGTAGCAGAGATAGGAAGATAATTGCAATTTTGTACATCAGTAAAAATTGACAAGTTATATGGGAATATGTAAGGTAATAAATTTAAGATTAAAAAAAATCCAAGCTTCATATCTGAAATGAAACTATACGGGCTTTGTTATTGCAATAGCCTCACAAAAGAACTCATAAGCCTGCTCACTGAAAACATAAACCAGGCTGCAGCACTAAATCAAAAGTGTCAAGAGCACTGAGGAAGAAAAACACTCTGGAACAGAAGTAGCCCAAACGTGGCTGGAATTTCCTGTGCATCCTGGTAACTACCCCCAAGGGCCTGAGTGAGATCTGGACTGTGTGGAGCTCAGGAGGGCAGGAAGATCAAGGGGTGAGCCAGTCTCCGAAGCCTCACAAGGATGTGTCTAGGACCACACTGGGAGCAGGAGCCCCCAGGATGGCAATTCCTGAGCATGCTCCCTTCCCCATTCCCAGCCTCTGCCTCCAAATCTGAGAACGGTGAAGCCCATGGTGAGCTATATCCAAGTAGCAGTGCTAAATTTCCAAGTCTGATAATGGAAACAGGTAAACCGTATTTAATTAAAATGCCTACAGAGATACGTGGCTTTTCCAAGGTTTTCAGAGACTGCAAGGAGGAGAACAGCGAGTCTAAGTGCCCAGCTCACACAGCAGGGCAACAACCACAGGACAGGCAGAAGCTGTGGCACCACTCTAAGAAGCAGGAGCAGGAAGGATTGCTGGATGTGGACAGACTGTGCTGGAGGGCTACAGTCCTGTGGACCCCCAGACAAAAAAGGCTCCACAGACTGTAGGAGGCAGATTTAGAAGAGCCACCAGCTTATTTCCCAAACTGTTTCTATCTTTCTTAGGACAATTTAATTGCTTACCAGTTTTGCTTCAAGTCCAAATACCGAATGTTGACCCCTTCTTTAATAGCTTCATAGTTACTTTCAGATCCCTAAGTGGAAATATCAAAAACATAAGCTTCCCAAGCACCAGAAGCACTCCTTTTCCCTCTGTGCCCCCGGCACCTAATAAAGCCGCTCACAGCTGCTGCGTGAGTGGTGCATACACCTGGAAACTGATGCAGCAAGTGACTAGGGAGCACCCACCATGGGGACACAAATACCTCACTACGCTTGTAACATCCAACTGGTGTTCAAATAGCGAAGGGGGAAGCTGGTATAGCCATGGGCGTGAAGTGCCATCCTACCCAGATAGCATCGGTGACGTTCTCCTTCAGGGCTCGGTGCACATCCCAGCTGTGTGCCTGCTTTTCTGATGACTCATCCAACTCCCATTTACTGATATTTGAGCTGGTGAGGCTGTAGAAGCTGGAGCTTCCACTGTCCCAGAGAACACCTGCAAGCTGCACAGAGGGAAAGAAGTCACGCTTCCTAACGGCTCAATGAGACCTCAGACCCCATGTGCAGGATGGCTGAGCAATCAGTGCTCATGATGGACTGAGGAGGGAGGGCTGACTGAAACCCAGCAAGAGCAAGGTGGGGGCACAGGCCAGGAGAGCAGAATGGAGTGTGGAAGTACAGGGTCCTTCAGGAAGATGTCCTCTTCAACTGTAAAATAAACCTGAAAAATAGCAACATATAGCAAAGTCCTGGAGGTGGGTCAGCAGCTCTGGTAAGCAGAGCAGATGTAATGGCTTCTGAACCCAGAGCCATGAGGGGACCAATAGCAAGGAGGAAGGCAAGGCTACACATGGCCGTGCAGCTGCAAAAGCACAGTCATGATCATCAAGCCGTGTGTGAGGTTTACCTGGGTGTCCAGGGTGATTCTAAATGGGGCGGGCAGGGCCTTCAGAAGTACACTGGCCTGGTCCAGCAGCTTGGGCAAAGCTTGCCAAGTGCAGGGGCTTAAACTCAGCACCAGGAAGAAAGGAATGGAAGGGGACCCAGAGGGGAGTGATTGATTTGCCCCAATGCAGACAGAGGCTAGGAAAGCACCAAGGTTCTGGGTGGTCACTCAAGAAGTGATGATGCCTTTAGCAGAACAGTCGAGAGACGAGCTCTGTACACTTGGTCCAGGGCAAAGAAAGAAGCTGGTAAATTTGTTTTCAGACATGTTCTGCTTTACAGTAGAACACTCAAGAAACTAAGCATGGTAGTGCACACTGGGAGCCTGAGGAAGGAGATTCCCTAGTTCAAGGTCAGCCTAGGCAATTTAGCAAGACTCTGTCTCAAAATAAAAACATAGAAAGGGATGGAGAGGTAGCTCCATGGTACAGCACCAGGTTCCATCCCCAGTGTTGGGGAAAAAAGGAAACTCAAGGAAGCAGGAGAGAAAAGCAACCAGCAAGAAGAGAACTGTGGGGGTGGGCGCGCAGCAGATGCCAGCAGGGGAGCCACCACAGACTCTGCAGCCTGGGCACAGCCCCCAGCTCTGCCACTCAGTGGCACAATGAGGAGGCCCTCTACTTCACAGGCTGTCATAATGATGGCATGACATGATAGAGCCTTGGCAGAGAACGACACTGCATAGTGTCAGCTCCCACCTCCCCTTCCCTAGCTATGCACAGGTACGGACTTCCAAAAGGGTTGGAGCATCAGTTATGAGAGAGAGGATACTTGCAATAATTTTAAAACGTCAACTCAATCCTTATGAAACACATTTTAAATTTACAAACTAGTTTAAAATCATATGGAGGCAAAACCAACTTCGTAGGAAACTTTCAGCTAAGAAATGAGCTTCCAAAACAGACATTTTATAAACTTACCATGAGATCACTACTAGCAGACAAAATTCCAAAAAGGGAGGAAACCCTCCGACCAATCCCTGAAAGCATGCCTTGCCCCTGTGGCAAGAGGTGCTGATGGATCTTCCCCGAGCTTTCAGGTATCAACCGAATTAGCTGGCTTCCTGCAGAGGACAAGATGAAGCTTCCTCCCTGTGAGCAAACAGAGAGATTACATAAGCGTCACCACCAAGAGGAAGAGAACAAAAAATACTTGAAGCCAAGTAAGGTGGCAAAGGCAGTAAACCCAGCTACTCTAGAGGCTGAGGAAGGAGGATGGCAAGCTCCAGGGCAGCCTTAGCAATTAGTGAGACCCTGTCTCAAAATGAAAACTGAAAAGAGCTGGAGATGTGGCTCAGTGGTGGAGCACTTGTCTACCATGAATGAGGCCCTGGGTTCAATCCCCAGGACCACCAAAATAAACAACAACAAAAAAACCTCTTTGATGCAGAGAAAAATCATCCTCACCTTAAACAAATTTAAAAGAACGAGTAAAAGCACAACATTATTTTATTGACATAATTAAGAATCTGTTCAATACGATGACATGATTATCTTGGTGGTACTAGGGACTGAACCCATGCTAGGTGAGCATTCTACCAATATTTACACCTCCAGCCCTTCTGACCAACATTACGAATTCTACACAGAAAAACTTTTGCAGCAGAAAAACAATTAATTATTTTTAAATTTGATTTTTAAGTAATAGGTTCACCATAATGCAAGTTAAACAAGTCAAGCGTTGGGCATCAGTAGTCATTCTTTACATCATTCAGATCATAAAACACTTCTAAAAGATGTGAACACTACTCACCACCACCCAACACCAGCCCCTCAGAACTCCCAGAGGGGTCTCGCTCCACCAAGTGTGCAGTGGCAGACTCCCACTCTTTCTTCCTCGTTCCCTATGGGTCCTGGCCCTACTGTGCGTCTGCTCAGGAGCCATAGTCCCAGCTCACAGCTCTCCCGAGTCATAAAGCAACACTCATCTCACACCTTGACTGCTGTGAGGAACCTGCAGATCTTGTCCCCTCCCAAGTCCACGCATGTTTCTGTGTAGGTGTCCTCCCCCGCGAGACTTGGCCAGTAGCGGATGGACCCTTCTCTAGTGGCAACCATGACAGCAACGGCCTGGAAACAAAGCCACAACAGTCAGCAAGGAGGCCTCACAGGCAGAGTCTGATGATGCTGAGGAAGTCAGAGCAAGGACTCTTTATCTTAAAACTGCTTTTAAAGTGAATGAGCAGTAAAACTGCCTTTCCTTTGTTAGAACGATTCTAACACTTATGTAGGTTTGCCTAGCTAGCCACAGTAAGGATCCAGAAAGTCCCACCACCCCCAAAGTGGCAGCACCTTCCCACCCTAACCTCTGGCAACCCATTTCTGCTGCTGCAGTGAGAACATGACATGAAATCACAGAGAAGGACGCTGACTGCTCCTCAGTCTCCCGCCTCAGACACACTGGGTCACTGTAGGCATTGCCGGCTCAATATGCTGTGTTGAGAAGCACTCCACATGGAGGTACCCCTTCAGCTGCCCTGCTACCTGCTAACGGACATCACAAAGGAAGCAGCTGTGCCACCTGTGTGGTATTCCTCCCTGACCCCAGTTTTCACTTCTCCAGGGTGAAGAGCCAGGAATGGAACTGCTGCGTCCACAGTACGAGCCTTGACCCGTGAGAAAGGGAAGCCGCGAGGCTGTCCCACCCCACCCCACCCCCTGTGAGCAAGTGCAAAGAGCAGAGCCCCCGGGTCACCAGGTCCTTGCCAGCACCCGCAGGCCAGCTCTGTAAGTTGCAGCCATCTCTGGGGTGAGTGGTATTTCATTGCTGTTTCTCTAAGGTGAAGCTGTTAAATGCCTTGTGTGCTTACCTGTACCCTACATCCTGCCTGGAAAGTTTCATTGTAGACCTGTGCTGCCTGTTTGGTTTTCTCCCCAGTGACCCTTGTTAAACTGCGCTGTTTCTTATCCAGCTTTGAGATCTCTTTTTATATTCTAGACATAATTTCTTTCTTGGATGTGTGACCTACGAATATTGTCTCCCTGTCTGTAGCTTGTCTCTTCATTTTCTTATCTTAAGCAAAGTTTTAACTTCGATCTTATTTTAATATTAATTTTCTCAATTTTTTACTTTAAAGGATCATGATTCAAAGATTTCTAAAAACGGTGCCCAATCTCAGATCATGACAATTTATCTTCTTTCTTTTTCTAAAAATGTTTTCTACTTTATATTTAGATCTATGATCCATTTCAAGTTAATATTCACGCAACTCGTTTTTTAGAATTACAGATTGCCAATTGTTCCAACACTATTTACTATGTCACCTTCACTGAAGTGCTTCTGCATTTGTCAGAGACCAGTGTAGTCCTCGAGTGGGTCTGGAAGGTGCCCTCTGTCCTGCTCTACACCGTGGGTTTGAAAGGCACTCTTCACCCTGCTCTATACAGCCCCCCCCCCACCTCTTTGTCAGTGCCACAGTCTTATTTCTGTAGGTTACAGTAATGTCTTAAATTTGGATTGGATGTTTCCTCATTCAGAATGCCCTCATTTCAATAAGCATTTAAGTCACCTACCTGAATGGAATGTGCTTCACCTGAGGGAACGGAGAAGGACAGGGCCACCAGGTCAGCACTCCAGTGGAAATCACTAGGTGGCAGCTGGAGTTCTTTGCAAACAGATAACTAGAGACCACACACAAACAGAAAGTCTTTTGTATGAAACCCAAGTCTTTGAATGTGCAAATGATTTCTCTATTTCCTTTCTCTGCATATTGCATATTCTGATTTGTTGCTAGAAAACAACATCTACAAATATTCTGTCCTTTTGTAGCTCTTTTTGACCAGGCTACAGGAATTTAACAACATTCACAGAATTGGGACAACTTAAGATCCAGGCTGAACCTTGAATACCAGTGCAGTTCTAGATCAGACCTGTGGACAAGAGTCCTTGGGTGAAAAGAAGCTTCCTATGCACCTTTCCCAAGCTTGTGTGATTTGAAAATTAGCTTGACCAGAGCTGGGGTGTGGCTCAGTGGTAGAGCGCTTGCCTAGTGCATGCGAGGCCCTGGGTTCGATCTTCAGCACCACATAAAAATGAATAAATAAATAAAATAAAGATTAAAAAGAAAATTTGCTTGACCAAAAAGTAACTAAACCAAGTTGCCTTGACAATGCCTCTTTGACTCTGAGCCAAGTATCAAAGCCCCTGCTGCCTCAGAACCATCCCTGGGACCTCCCCATCATGTACACTCCTCATCACAAGCGCCGTCTTCTAGGCAGCATCATAGAGGCCAATACACACGCGGTAAGGAGGGGTGGCAGAGACACTGCACAGGAAGAGGCTGCTGAGGGTGAGCCACCGCCACACCAGACACTGACCACACTGTCGGGGCACACTCTGAAAGCCACCTAGCAAGGGTATCACTTTTCCTATTTTATTAAGCACCTTGTAGTAGATTGAACAAAATATTGTTGTCTCTTCTTGAAAATAAGCACCCTCAACTCATTAGCTGATGTGGGCAGCGTTGTAACCTCAGACTTCACTAAGCAGAAGAACTGACATCATGTTTTGTTTGTTTAATATTTATTTTTTAGTTTTAAGTTGGACACAATACCTTTGTTTTATTTATTTTTATGTGGTGCTGAGGGTGGAACCCAGGGCTTCGCACGTGCTTGGGGAGCGCTCTACCACTGAGCCACACCCCACCCCTGGCATCATTTTTAACTTCAATGTCTCTGATTTTATGAAAGTAAATAATGTGACTCTGCTTAAAATTAGTGCACAGGTGTGCTGTGCTGACAGTGCTCCTGTGGACACAGGAACCATTCCACAGACCACTGACTTTCCCAAGAAGTGTGGTAAGCATCCACCCCACAGAGCAACATGCACAAGAAGTGCAAGGAATCGTGCACCCAGGGAAGGCATGAAAGACGGGAAACCTAGCAGCTAAGGGGACACACTAGAACAGCTGGAGCCCCACTCCCAGAAAAAGGCTAAAAGCACACAAGACTGTGCTGAGGCTAGAGCACCCTGAGCCAGCAGTAGAGCTGAGAGAACACTGGGAATTGGAGGAACAAGGTGGAGGAAGGCCCAGGGACCTGTGTGGAGCTTACTCTTTAGTAAGACGACAGTAACAACTTGAGGTCATGTTCACTTTATTTGGTTAGAATGGGTCTTTGGGGAGGGAATAAAATTACAGACTTCAATTAAAAAATTACTGAGAGAACACTTTGTTCCCAGGACACAAATGTGATGTGCACTCAGCATTTCGTACACAAATCCCTTAAGCCCACGTAGGCACAGACAACCATCCTCCACCAACTCTGAAGAACTAGGGTAGAAACAAAGAACCCACCAGTACTCCCCTTTACCTTGGTGACAGGTGACAGAGTAATCTTCCAAACAAGCAGTTTCTCTTTGCTGACTAGGCAAGCCCAGCCACCTTCATTTATGTGAACAGATAGCTGGTCATCAACTGTGGAGAAACAAGGATGCAATCAACCTTAAATCCCAAATGAGGAAAGCTGATCAACATTCCCTGTGCCACAACGGCCACTGCCACGTTTCACAAGATCAACTGACAACAGGAACTCACAGGAGATCAACTGACAACCAGGAATGCTCCTGCATATTCAAGAATCACTGACTTCTAAGCAAGAGATCTTTTAACTTTGATATTTGCCTTTAGAAATACATAAAGGTAGTAACTGCATTTTGGGCCTAGGTTTATGATTTTTGTTATAAGTAAATATCCCTACTTTCTATTAGAAATATTTAGCTGAATTCATAATTTAACTGAAAAGCAACACATTTATTATTTAATAACCCCCCTCCCCTCATTAACTATGAAAAGCATTTCAAGGAAAAAAAAATCACATTCCTTCAAAACAATATGCCTTTCAAATCAGAGCCCCTGGAAGTAGGATGCAGGCCCCACCACACGGAGCCAAGGGTATTCCCCACAGACAGGACAAACCTGCGGCGCCTTCCGCACACATGCCAGGCCTCCACAAAGGGACTGATGGCCCTGGAAATGGCACTGGTTTGAACTCTGTTCTCTGAGTTAAGGTGGGGGAACCTGAGGCACCCACAACTTACAAGCTAAAATGTCGGAGCATGCCCAGGCTGTGCTGGGACTCTGCTGAACTGGAGCTTCTGCCTGCTCAGGAAGCCCTTGTCATCAACACACTGTAAGCTCCAGGCTCGTGGTGGCAAGCCTCCGTGGCCTGACTCAACACTGGCCATGGGCATCATCCACAGGAGAAGCCTGGAGTTTACACCTCTCAGTGTACACATGCCCATTTCCAGGACCGGCTCTTCTGAATGCCTAGATTTGAGGCCAGTGTTGTTTGTTATCAACAGGTTGGTAGCTTGGACAAGCAGTGTGTTCAAAGATTTAAATGCAATGCAAGCTGAAGATTTTCAGGGGAAAAGAAAAGCATATTTAAAGCAGAGCAACATATAACAGAGGTTAGTAATCCCTTCATTTAGAATGGGGTAATATATATAATAATATATATAACATATTTCAGTACCAGGGCTTGAAACCAGGGGTGCTTAAAAACTGAGTCACATCTCCAGCCCTTTTTATTTTAAGACAGGGTCTCACTAAGTTGTTGAGAGTTTCACTAAGTTGCTGAGCCTGGCCTCAAATGTGTGGTCCTCCTGCCTCAGCCTCCCAAGTCACTGGGATGACAGATATGTGCCACTATGCTCAGCAAGAATGGAGTACTAAAAACTCTAATGCTATTCACAGTAAGCGATACACAAAGTTACTTATGCTGTAATGTACTCTGATGCCGTGATTCTCTTCTATTTTTGTTGTTGTTGTTGTTGTTTTTAATGCTAGCTGTGAACAACTAAACTGATTTCAGTAACAAGCTGCAATATGAAAAACACTTTCAGAAAAGCCAGAGTCAAGGGGTCCATAAACAACTTAGGTACATACAGAGAGCAGTCTAAACTGCACGTCCCACTCTGCTGGAGACTGAACCCCGGCACACTCTACCATTGAGCTACATCCCCTGCCCTGTTATTTTTCACTTTGAGAGAAGGTTCCATTAAGGTGCCCACTGGCCTCAACCTTGACATCTTCCTGCCTCAATCTACCAAATTGCTAGGTTTATGGGCACACACCACCATGCCTAACCCAATTCCTCACTCTTTAATGTTGCTCTTCCAACTTTGTGTTGACCACATCTTCTGAACTACTACAATGAATCTCAGCCAACAGAACCTTCTGAGATCACGCTACACTGGTAATTCCATGCCACTGTACACACAGCCTCTGGGACACCACAAAGGACCCAGAAATGGAGTGTGACCTGAACTTACTGTACTAGTTTTGGGAGTTGCTTTTTAAAGCTAAATTCCATATATCTGATCAGTTTTTTTAATGGGACTGAATTCTGCACAGTACTTGAAACCACTGGACTTAAATGTGATAGTGTCAGAATGATGCCTTCTGTTTCTCGAATACATTGTGTGTCTGACTGAAGCAAAGAACCAGTCAGACGCTCTGCCCTCCTGCAGGTCCATCCACACAAGAGGCCTGCTTCGCTCCCAGATGTTGACAGGTGAGTGGAGGGAAACACCTACCCTCTGCCAGGGTCAGGGCCTCCATGACCTTAACAGGGAGAGATGATCCGAATGTCTTCACATCGTAGTTCACAGACTCAGTTACGGAGTGGTGCGGGAATGCTCGTGTAGGTGTTCCTCTAAAGAGAAGAGACCACATTACTTCACTTATCACTTAGAACTTTTCGCTACCCTAGTGTTTATACATGTATTTACGTGATGAAAGGATCTTGATAAATAAGGAGGTGAGCTTAAACACTGGCACATGCATACTGTGTGAGTAAATTCATTCAAAAAGGGCTGACAGGATTTAGGAAACCCTGGCTCAACCAGTAATGCTCAGTAATTACTGTGAGAGCAACATGCCCCCAACGAGGGGCCAGAGAAGTCACTGTAAGAGCAACACAACTCCATCCCTGTGATGTTCCCTCTTGGCTTCTACTCACTGAATACCTAGAACTTTTCAAATAAGATGAAATACTAAAACATAAATTGCTGAACATTTACGTTTATCAGTTTAGGCTTCTTATTACAAAGAAATTAAAAATTGAGTCTATTAGTACTGTGTCCTATCACAATGAAAAACCGTCCTGTACGCTTGTGTATGTAGAAGCTATAAAATGTATGCTCATAAAATGCTGGTGTATGATGAACTTACTCCCGGGCTCTCACTAGCAATTAAAGTTACTAAGTACTAAAAATCCTACTTTCTATATAATACTTAAAATAATAAAAGGAACAACTCTACATACAAGGGAAGCACATGTTTGTAAGTTAAATGAAGCTCTGAGGTATGACCTGAGGTGTGTCCTTTCTGTTTTGATGGGGAGTGGCTGATTGTTGAAGAAGAGAGGGGTGCGCAGGACAGAAATGGGTGGGTGAAGCCATAGACCTCCTCTCTGGTGTGAGATCATTGTTGGCTGAGATGAGATGATCGATCTCTCAGGTATGATGAGTGTGAATACTAGCAGTGCACGGAGGCAAAGCAGAATTTGGTCTCCTCTATTAAACCAATGAAATTTTCTTACACTATTGATCTGAGAATGGGAAAGGTTTAGGAAACATATTTAGTTTCTTTCAAGATAATTTGTATTTCATGTTGTCTTCTATTGGGTCTTTGCTTATTAACAAAGGGGAGTCTTCTTAATATTTTAAATGAACTAAGTTTTTGCTCACAATTATATAACTTTTTGTACTTGCGTTTAAAATAATTTATTGTCACTGACTAAACAGATGACTAAGATATTTGTTTTAAGCCTTTTGACATTTTTGACAAACTTTCCAAAATCAAACTCTAAATTAGATCTTTTTGACCTTGAATTAACTTTGGGATTTTCTAGTTGTGTCTCAAGAAAGCCATAAAAAAGATATGTTTCTCATCTTGTAAGACAGATGATGCTGGCATGGTGGCATACCTTTCTAATCCGAGCAATTTGGAAGGCTGAAGCAGGAGGATCATAAATTTGAGATCAGACAGAACAATTTAGCAAGACCCTGTCAAAAAAAATTTTTTTAAAGGGTTGTAGATGTAGTTCAGTGGCAGAACACCCATAGGGTTTATCCCAAGTACCGTGAAGAAAAAAAAAAAAGATTAATTAGGCTTTTTTTTTGGCAGCGGGGTGGGGGTGGGGGTACCAGGGATTGAACCCAGGGGCACTTAGCCACATCCCCAACCCCCTATTTTTTCAAAAAAAATTTTTAAGAGACAGGGTCTTGCTGAGTTGCTTAGGGCCTCACTGAGTTGCTGAGACTGGCTTTGAATTTGTGATCCTCCTGCCTCAGCCTCCAGAGCTGCTGGGATTATAGGTGTGCACAACTGCACCCAGCTTATTAGGCTTATGTAATGTTAAGTTATATGAGAATCACTGTCAAATAATAAATGATGCTCAATCTTCAAGATATACTTAAGGGATATTGGATACCAACAATAGCGGGGGACAGGAGCTTTACCAGATTGAACAGAGCAGAGTCGGGGGAAGGAAGGGGAGATGGAAATGGAAAAGAGTAGATGACTGTTTTCATACATAAATACACAACCAATATAACTCCACGTCATGTACAACCACAAGAATGCAAAGTTATATTCCATGTATGTATGTCAAAATACACTCTACTATCATTCAGGTATAACTACAAAGAACAAAAATAAAAAATTAATACTTAAGGATAGTTACTGATATGACTGTTTCAAAAACTGTATGAGTCCTTGAAATCCAGCATGCCATCAGTCACAACTGTGGTCATGTTAAAGTGTTCCAGGCCATGGAAGTATATTTCCTGGCTGGCTGCTGGCTATGTTGATTCTCATCAGATTTTAACCACATCTATTCTGTCTCTGCTACCCATAGGCAGAGATGTTGATTCTGCTGCAAAGCACTGGGCATCAGCCACAGTCAAAAACTGCTTCTTCTTTAAGCAGAGTCATAAAAAAAACTCTGATAGCATTTACATCATATCACGGAACTGGGTAAGAACTTCCAGAATCTTAGTGAAGAAAGAGATGATCCTAAGTTCAAGTAGAACAAGAATTACTTTTTCTGCCTACTTTCCTGCTACTTCTGCCAACTTGATCCCTTAAAATTTTGGAAAACTATTCAAGAATTTTCTTATTTTTTTTTTAAATATTTATTTATTTATTTTTCGGTGGACACAACATCTTTGTTTGTATGTGGTGCTGAGGATCGAACCCGGGCCGCACGCATGCCAGGCCAGCGCGCTACCACTTGAGCCACATCCCCAGCCCCACGAATTTTCTTATTTTTATGGCAATATAATTATTTATATAAGTTCAGTAAAAATCTGCTCTTTATGGGAGGGTATACTGGAAATACTGGCTCTATCACTAAGTCCATGGGGTATCCCATTTGAGGGTATACACAGAAGTGTACCTTAGTGTGGTACACCTAACCCCGAGGTTAGCCAAGTCCAATCAGACTCCTTACCAAAAGTTCCAGCAGAGCAAACTTAAAAGGTGTCTATGTGGTCAATCACAAAAATCCTTAGAGACCTAACGTAAACAGTCTGGCCAAGTCTGATGAGACCGACTGGTCCCACACCTGCAGTGGGAATGGGGTGACTGTAGAGAGAAAAATCATTTTTTGGAGAAAAACTCCAGTACACTTGTTATCAGATCAGTCCTGTTCACTGTTTTCAAGTTTTTATTATCTGTCTGTAACTGTACAAGATCCTTAATTTTCTAGGTTCCTCCAATCCATGGAATCATGGAATCACTAAGAACAAAATTCCTGTTCTTGAAGCCTTGTAAACTAAAGCTGGAAAGCTTCAAGGGATAAATTTCATGTCAGACATGAGTTCACCAAGCCACAAAACCATAACCAGAGACATTCAAAGGCAAACCAGATAAGAAGTTGATGACTTCATGCTGTGGACAGCTTTTCCCAAGACATGGGAACAAGATTTCCCACAATAATGAGGTGCTGATCTCTTCTGACTTTTCCTTGCTTATGCCTACCTCATTCACTTGGCAGGATAATCCTGTAACTAGAATTTCATTCAGTGGCTACTGTGGTAAGGTGATAGCATGTCAAGTTCACCCCAAATCTATACATGCCTTAAGAGACTTTGGTCCATCTAGCAGGTAACTTTAGCAGCACCTCTAAGTATCTCTGAAAATTGTACTTGTGGTTCCTTTTAGTTAGACTTCTAGACCCAGTTCTCACTCTCTGCTTTAATTTAAGTTGGTCATGGAATGCTAGATAAAAGAATTTTTGCTACCTACTTGCTAAACAAGGAGGAATCTGTGCAGTCACGAACACTTCTTGTTGCACATGGATGAATACATCAGATATAGTAGATTCAGTTACAAAGAAAGCAAAGAAGGAAGGAATTGAACAGGCTACTTGGTTAAAATGACTCATCTGGCTCATTCTGTGATCTAGTTGACTTTAGTTGGTTTGGTTCATGTGGACCCTAGTAAGAAGCATATTTCACATTTTTGGTATTATCCTCCAGTCCTAACAGTAGTCTTCCTTCTCTCCGTTTGCATGCAGCCATCTATCAAATGTCAAATCTCTCTTCAGCCAGAATGACAAAAAACCTGAAGGAACTGTTGATCACAGGGACGTGGTAACCTATGAATGATGTGTCGAAAAACTGGACACCAGAATAAAGTAACAAAGTAGCGTCACACCCTTAGTGCTGGTCCCACTCTCACCTAAGTGAGATCCTGACCAAACGGTGGGAATTGTTAAACAAAAATGATGGAAAGCCGCCGTTTTGTACTGAGCTCCTGCACCAGGCCCCAAAGACCAGACCACACCGAAATGGAGTCGCACAAGTCAAATGCCACATCATTAAGCTGAAGCTTTAAGGGCAGGCAGATCCCAAACCCATGAGTTTTTCCTGAGAACGAGAGATTCGAATCTGAGTATTTAAAGAAATCCCCTTTCCTTTAACGCTCAAAAGAGTAACCTGATGATAACCCGTCAACCTTTCCCATTAAGCTGCTTCCTTCTTTCCGCCTTAAGAGACCCACTACTGTGCTACTGTAGGCTCCCTTCCTATGTTGCAGAATGGAGGCTGCGCGGACTCACGAATCGCAAATAAAAGTCAATCAGAACTGCAACTAAATTTGTTGCACTTTTGTCTTCTGACACACGAAAAGTGCAAACTGAGGACTCAAGCGACAACCAAAGCGGAGCTGAAACAACGGCAAGAGCGAGACAGGCCACCTCCCAGGCGCCGCTACTCACCGCGAGCTGAGCGAGCTCCGCCGGCCTACAGGCGAGAAGGGCCCAGGAGTGCCGACCGCAGAGCCCAGGGACGGGCCCCTCCTGCTCGTCGCACGGGGCGTGGAACCCCCGACTCCGGCCAGCGGGCCCCTTCGGGACCCGGGACCCGGGGTCCGCAGTGAAGGGACGGCCGGGAACATGACCGCAGAACACAGCGATGACCGAGACACAACTAGAGACAAGCACTGTTCTCCCGCGTCCAGAGCTTGAAAGCCCCAGCGCCGGAAGGCGCGCGGCGATGACGTCAAACGCCGCGGGCGTGGTCAGAGGGACCGGAAGGCGCGTAAAAATCTCATCATCACTAAGCCCCAGGCGTGATCGGAGCCGGGCCGAAAGGCGCGTAGAAAGTACGTAAAACGTTGCGCCGAGGCGCTGGGCGTGGTCGGAGCGGGTTGGGAGAGTGGTGATGACGCTAAGCGATCCTAGTGCTGCAGCGCGAATCGTGGGCAGGGGCTCTGGCCTGGTCTCGCTCCCTCCGGCCCTCCACATGCCGGCAGGTGCACTGCGGCAGGCCTGCGCTGCTCTCTGCGGCGGACTCTAGTGGCTGATCACCGCCCGCAGGTTGTTGAGCTGCTTTGATCTGACTGGCCGGCTTTGCCACGCCTGTCCATCCACCATTCCCCCCTCACCTTCCGAGAACTTGAAACACTCTGCCCTTCACGTTTCTGTTCCGGGGTTGCCTGCCCTCCTATCTTGGCCCACCAGCCCCTTCTTTCAGTGCTGCGTCCCAGGGAAACCTGGATGTCCCTTTATGCTCCTGTATACAGACTGGTATTTTTATTCGGCATAATAGTTTTGTGTTCATAGCTAACTCGCAAGTAGCTACGTTCAAGTGTTTTGACAGAAGATATTCGTCACACCCAACAGATATTTAGTAGACGTTCATCATGCCTTTGTTGAAATAAGGGAATGGCTTAATGTTGCGAGGAGGCAAAATTGCAACGTATGCAATTAAGGGGAGAAATAAAGAATGTCCACGCGCTTCTTCCCCTTTCAATGCTTTATTCACTCAATATAATTTCACTCTATAGTTCTTAATGAAGAAAACGACAATTCCTAATGCTAAGCACTGTAATAGACATAATCAATTCACAGCAAACAATTCTAGATTAATTCTAAGCCCTGCAAAACACACTTAATCATGATAGGCTAATGACAGACACTTCCTCTGCATGCTAAGTTCAAAAGTCTTAAGCCTTAGGCTTTATGTCCAGCAAATGCACACTCACTCAGACCGCAGTGATCAGGTCCGGAACCAAGGCAGATTTTTCCTGGCATGGAGTGGTTGGCCATTCAGGAGAAAGGAGAGAAAGGATCAGTAGGGAGAAGTTGCAGCTCTCATCAAGTCCAGATGAGGCTGTAGAGTTTGAGGGCGATGAGGATCACGCAAAGGCTCAGGAAATGACAAGTGATGGGGTATCAGGTCCTCATCAGGCTCTCCAGCTCGAATGCATGCTTGTTTCAACTGGCTTGAATCCCTGTTCATTTGCTCTATAATTATTTATACTAAATTTGGGGGGCGGGGTTTGACCCCCCCTTTCACTCCTTATCAGCTACCACCATATTTCAAGGACATCATTTAACCTGGGGTCAGAAACTTTTGGTCTGGTGGTCTCCACCTTGATCTTCTTGGTTTCCTCTTATCAGGCAAGGATAGCCTGCCAGGGGCTTCACTGTTTATCAGGGTGAGGGGAAGTAACTTGTTTGTGGCCATAGTGGAGGGCTCTTGGGTGTGCCTGGTGAAATTGCAGGTTTCAAACTGGAGTTTTTAAAATGGAGTTGCTTAGGCTCAGGCCTAAGGCCATTCTAACACTTAAGTAAATTGCTTAGGCTCAGGCCTAAGGCCATTCTAACACTTAAGTAAATTGGTTTTTGGGAGATAAGAGCCCCAAAACCATCTGTGCAGTGTGGAACCTGGCCTCACCTTGTTCTACTTTCTCCCTCCTGAGTTTCCCCCCTGGCTTTGCAGCTTGCTTTCAAGTATTTCCTCTTTCTCTGGGTCTTACTAGGAAACACTGAAAATATGCTAAGAGGTTTTAGGTGCTCTTGCAACATACCTATGGAAGGTGACAGTGATTTGCTTGACCCTATTTCACCCATCATTTCACCACATGTATGTGTATCAAAACGTGCTGCACACCTTAAATATACACAATAAAGAACAGTTTGTGCAGTGATGGGGTTCAGGACACACTACCCAAAATATGTCACCTTGGCACTTAAGAAGACAGCAAGCGCTGGGCACAGTGGCCATGCCTGCAATCCCTGCTTGGGATGCTGTGGCAGGAGGATTGCCAAGTTCAGGGCCAGCCTCAGCAACTAGGCAAGGCCCCAATCAACTTAGCAAGACTCTGTCTCACAACAAAAAATAAAAAGGACCAAGGATGTGGCTCAGTGGTTAAGCACCTGAGTTCAGTTCCCAGTACCAAAAAAAGAAGACATCAAGCAAGAGAAGGACAGTCACTCTGACCTGCCCTTATCCCTGAGGCAGGTCATAGGACCCTCTTGTAAGAGGTGCCCTCCTGTACTTGGAGGAAAGGATCATCCATATCCCTGAAGACAGGGACACAAGGAAGACCCTGGACCAAGAGGCCTTGTCTAGAACCCCCGTAGTCCCTACTGTATTGCGTGCCTTTGTCCAGCATGCTCATCAAAACCAAGCATTAGAATGCATGATGGAGCTGGGGTTGTGGCTCAGTGGTAGAGAGCTTGCCTGGCAGCTGTGAGGCACTGGGTTTGATTCTCAGCACCACATATAAATAAAACAAAGGTCCATTGACAACTAAGAAAAAAAAAAAACGAACGTATGAGTTCCCATGTCTTTGGATCATTTCCTGAGGCTCCCAGATCACAGAAAGTTTGCATTAAATAAAAGTGTATGGGGCTGGGGATGTGGCTCAAGCGGTAATGCGCTTGCCTGGCATACGCAGGGCGCTGGGTTCGATCCTCAGCACCACATAAAATAAAAAAAAATAAATAAAGATGTTGTGTCTGCCGAAAACTGAACAATAAATATAAAAAAAAAGTGTATGCTTTCCTCTTATAAATCTGTCTTTTGTTATAGGGGCCTCAGCCATGAACCTAGAATGGGAAGAAAACATGCGTCTTTTCCTCCACGTGTAGTCTACACCACTTTTGTTAAGAGAAATATGCCTCGCTGGTTCAGACAGCTCTGTGTGAGGGCCCAGCCTCAGGTCCCATGCAGATGGGCCTCGGCTCTGTGCCCTTGCAGTGAAGACCAAACATTGATTTATGTGGTACTGATCACTGCAGTCGGCAGCCAGAAGCAGCCAGGTGGGTAGAACTGTCAGGTCCCATTCTCAGCAGGCTGGTAACAGATGCTGGAATGGAAAGGCAGGAAATCATCCATACCCAGACACTTCCAGGCATTCACCTGACCCTCAACAGATTGTAATGACACCAAATGGCTGAATTTCAGCACAGAAGTCCTTCCAGAAGTGCAGAACACATATTTTTCGCTCGGTATGGGGTCAGCAGACTTCTCATCCAGCCTTCAGGCCTAGGGGTCTCACAGCCACTCCCCTCTGCATTGTAGGGAAAAGCAGCCATGGATTTTCCTACATGGACAAGAATGGCTGTGTTCCAACAAGACTCTATTTACTGCCACTGAAATTTGAATTTATATGTTTAATGTATTTTGAAATATTATTCTTTTGATTTTTTTCAACCATTCAAAACTAAAAACCACCCTTAGCTTGCAGTCCATAAATACATAGGTAGCCAGGTAGCTTGCTGACCGCTGCACTAGCTTTGTGAGGTAGGTGCAGGCAGAGGATCTAATCAAGTGGATGCTCAGGGTTTGTTAAGCAAACTCCACAATGCCTCAGGTTCAGAAGAACACCCCAAAGGAATACTGATAGTGTAGTTTTCATACATCTTTCATTTATTTATTTAACTGTTTTATAACATTTATATTTGTTTTTATTTATTTTTTTTTATCAGCTTGGCATTTTTATGGAACAAAAAGATTTCCCCAAATGGAGCCCTGCTTTATAAGGAGTGTACTTCCAGGGGTTTGGCCTATTTTATGATGGTATAAATTGTGATTATTTCCTGGGAACCTGCAGGGTCCAAGGCCAGGGGAGACCCTGCCCACAGAGATGAGCCCCAGAGGTCATACAACAATATGCAAACTCAGCAGGATGAGACTCTAACACACCTGTCAAATCTCAGGTGACATTCTTTTCTTTTCTGCTTATTTTCTAAACTGGTTCCATGTCCTCCAGGGGTTCTGCAAGGAGGTGAGAGGCAAGGTGTTCAGCAGCTTCCATGCATACACCACCAGCTCCTGCTGCTTCCTGCCATCGCCCTTCCCCACTCTGCCGGAGGCTACACACAGTGGTGATGCTGCTGCATTAATTTACAGCCTGCCATGCTAATTTCCTGACCTGGGAAGTGGGACAATAGGTATTGGTGTCACCTGCAGGACTGCCAGAGCATCAACTCTGGTGCAGTGCAAACACCCTGGGGGTGGGGTGGGGGATGACGTGGTACCAAGGTAAGGGCTGGTCACAACTCTGTGTGACAGGTGGCTGTTCTCATACTAGGTTTGCCTGCCCTGCCCTGCTAGGCTGGAGACCCCTGAGGGCAGAGCTGCTGACTCTGTCCTCACTGTGTCCCCAAGTCCTGGTGGGGCACAGGACACTCCCTGATCTGAAGCAACTAGACAAAATATTTATAAGTAGCACAGAAGTGATGACAGTCTTCAGTAAGGAAGGAAGGAATGGAATTATATGTGTTTTCAATTCTCATTATGACTTGCTTTTCTGTATTTGTTATATTTTTATTTATTCCTGAATCTCTATAGCAAATTCTAGTAAGAAACCTAATATGGTGGGGCTGAGGTTGTAGCTCAGTGGTAGAGCACATGGCTAGCATGCATGAGGCACTGGGTTTGATTCTCAACACCACATACAAATAAATAAAATAAAGGTCCATCAACAATTAAAAAATATTTAAAAAAGAAACCTAATATGGTATAAAGTTGTGCAAGTGACAAACACAGATAAAGTTCACTATACATTTTAATATATGATATAAAATATTACTTAAAGACATGAACAAGATACGGGTACAGCAGCACACACTTGTGTTCACAGTGACTCGGGAGACTGAGGCAGGAGGATGGCAAGTTTGAAGCCAGCCTCAGAGGCTTAGTGAGACCCTGTCTCAAAATAAAAAATTTAAAAGGCTGGGGATGTGGCTCAGTGGTAGCACACCCCTGGGTTCAATCCCCAGTACAAAAAAAAAAAAGTAAAAAAATCAAACATTTTATATTAGAAAGCAAAAATAATTATCAAACTCAATCTTGTAAATCCCTGTGAGGAATAAAAGAAACTCGCCCACACTTGACTTGTGTTTTGTCTGCCTTCTGAGAACAACATTGAAATAGCAAACTATAGAGAATACACACAAAGCTTGTTAAAATGATCACCACAGATGTATTGTTTATCAATTCAAATAACACTACATTCACTCATTCACTGAATCATTTTATTCATTATTAAATTCCCTTTTGTCGAAAAAAACGTAACACTCTAAGCCTCTACTGAAACGGGCTGCTTCTTCCAGGAGGATCTGGAGGGAGGCCATCTGGGCACCAGGGGCTTCCAGTCCACACCAGCATAGCAACTCAGGCTTTGGCATCATCGATGTAGAAAAAGCACTTTTTCTAGAGGCAACAGCAAGTTACCAGCACGAATCAGAACATGGCAAACTCGGGGGCTGTCACTTTGTTTTAGCGACTGAGTCATTCAGGTGAACAAGACTATTCTCATAAATACAAGAATGGGGGCCACTGGTGTCCTCCTCAGGACAGTGCCACGACAGAAGGTTCTGGGCTCTGTGGAGCAGGAAGGCTTTCAAATTTTCTTCAAATATCTTATGGCTGAAAATGATAGCCATGTTATTCAGATTTTAGCTATATTCATGAAAATTCAAAAGTATTATAAAAACTATAAACTTTAGTTTCTCTGGGAATTATAAGCTTTTGACAGATAATTTTCAAATGCATGCCTCATACAACTGACATGTAAAGTTCATGTTCATCCCTCTTTCTTGTGATACCCAGCAATTTGTGCCTTGCACCAAGAGTACTCACAGAAACAGACATGGGAAGAGAGAACACAAAGCTTTCCGGTTGGAGGAACCGCTTCCTTCCCATGTTCAAACCAGTCAGGCTTCCAAGTGCCAGGTTGTTGGAGACTGTGCACGTCTGGATGTCGCACTCCAGGATCACACTGCAGGAACTCCAGGGCATAGGTAGCGTGGATGTCCCCTTCCTCTACCTGACGCTCTGCCTGGCAGCTTCGCTTCCGTAAAGGCCGAGTGGCACTTCTACTACCCAGTGAGAGGACACTGGGTGACAATGTGTGCTAAGCTGGTCCAGAGTCCTTGCTCCTTATTTATAATTCCATTTCAAGAGCTCTCTCCACAATAGTTTGAATATGCGAGGTCAGGCAAAGAGCACGAGGTGCTGGGCAACACTGTGCTCCTGTCCATGAAGGGGAGCGCAGAACCAGGAGAAGGCCCTGGTGCAGGGACACTTAGAAAGTCACACTGCTAAAAGGTCTTGAGAACAGGGATGGTTCAAAACAGTATTTTTACATACTTTGGAAAAATAGACATATTTCAAGTATCTTGAAGTGTGACTTGTGGATTTCATTAGTCTGCGTTTTTCCTGCAGTGCCACCATGCTTTAAAGCCTCCCAGGCTCAGTGCATGGGGAGCTGCTTCTTCACGCTGAGGGAAAGCTCTGTTTGCTCATTAGTCTTCTGTACAACCCGTCTGGTCTTGAAAGTAGTTCTTCATGCTTCCCGTGTTCGGTGATTTTTCCACGGTCAAGAACAGCGACAACGTCTGCATTCTTGATGGTGGACAGGCGGTGGGCAATGACTAACACTGTCCTTCCCTCCATCAGTCGATCCAGAGCCTCTTGCACGAGGTACTCATTTTCGGCATCCAGCGCACTGGTCAGGATCATAGGAGCACAGACTTTAGTGCCACAGCGGTGCACAGCCCCAGGGCCACACTCTGGCCCTCCTTATGGTGAACTTCTATTCTGACACAAATTTCCCTGCTGGGAGCAGGGACAGAAAGGAGGCAGGCAGGATCTCCCACCTCTAGAACCACACTGACATCCAAGCAGAAGGCCCTGTTCAGGTGCCAATGCAGGGATCAGGGCCCCTCCCAAGCTGGGTGCCCACTGGCTCTTGACTGCCATTACTGGCCCAGACTGCCTCACTTCACTGTGCAGAGTCCCTCCTACAGTGGGACACTCCTCAGTACAGTCTCGTGCAGAACACAGCCCCATACGTGCACACACTCTCACCTGGTCGCTTCATCCAGGAGAAGAATTCTAGGATTCTGAAGGGAAAATATTTAAAAGAAAAGAAAAAATATGGTTTTAGTGGAAAATACAAGTTTTCAGTAATAAGAACCACATTTGATATGTGCCACAGTGTGGGTGGACCTTGGAGCATCATGCTCAGGGAGGGACCACACTGGCGTGGTTCCACCCAAGGGCAACTTTACCAGGATAGAAGTACGGAGGACAGGGCAAAATCAGTGGCCAGCTGGGTCAGTGGAGGGAGAGAGGAGGGGCATGCACAGCGGAGGTGCCCACCACCAGGGCAATGAAGGGTTCTACAGTTGATTGTGGGTTCTGTCTTCAGCCAACTCTAAATTTACTAACAGTCACTGAGAAGTACAGCCAAGATGGGTGAAGTTTATGCTATGGAGATTATGCTTCAGTGAAGCTGTCTTTAACTCGCCGTATCCCTGAGGGGAACTTGTGGCAGGGGCTGTCCTCCAGGACAGCTCTCTGACCTGCAGCCAGTGAGGCCCTTCCCGGTCCTGAGGTTTCCTGGATCTCAGCTCTGCACTGCTCGACCAGCAGTGGGTATGCAGGCCCAGTGTATGCTGGGTGCCCTGAGTTGGGATCACTGTGTGCAGATGGTTCTTGAGGATGTGACTTGCTTGCTCTGCTTTCCCCGACAGCCCACAGTCATGACAGCTCCCGACAGCTCCCGGCCCTGAGAAGCCCTTGTTGAACTTGAACATGGCCCCTGGGGCTCTGCTTACCTTCCACAAGAATGGTCGACCACATACCCACCCCCCACCCCCCCACCCGCCAAACACAAAAATCAAAAATAAGGAAGACGGAAAATTACAAACTGCAAGGTGTCCAAGTGAAAATGGCACCAAACCCAGTCGAGAGGCTTAACGCTTACCTTAAGCAGGGCCCGGGCAATTGCAATCCGCTGTTTCTGTCCACCTGACAAAAACAAACAAAAAGACTTAACAAAAACTCTAGGAATTCGCTTTCCTGATGAGGCATGTGGCCATGTGGAGGTACCTTCTCCAGCTGGCCACAGCTGGGATAGAGGGGAGAACAGAGACCTGTTTTTACAATAGCTTGTCCTCCCATCAATCTCAGAATTAACAGCAACAACTTTTATCACAGCTGCACTGAGGATGCCCCACCCAGTAGGTGTCTTCTAAGTGCGTTACCCTACGAGGTGGATTCCAACTTACTCCCACTTTATAGAGGAAAGACTGAGGCACAGGCAGGACCAGGTCTCAGGATCAGCAGGTGCAAGCCTAGGCTTGACCAACACAGTGTAGAGGGCTCTGCCTCCTCCCACGCACTCCCCCACAGGGGGTTAGGAGCTCAGATATGGGAGGCTTCTGGACAGCATTAGAACCATCCAGAATAAAGGGCACCTGCACCCACTGCCCCAGTTGACACTGGTCCTCATTCCTCCCATGTGTGTAGTCTCCTCTTGACGTGGAGTCTGTGGTGGCCCCCTGCCCTTCCACCTCCTGCCCCTCCCTTCCTCCAGGACTCCTCCCCAGCCTCAGGACACTCACCTCCCCATGTGGCACTGGCTTTGTGATAAGGGCACTCCTTTCTGGCTGACTCACCCAGAAGTTTACCACCTGTAGCTGGCACCATGGTACCCTGGACCTGGCCCCTCACAGAAGCTAGCACACGAGGACACCAGGATGGCCCTCCCTTGTCCAGGGCCTGGAGTAGCCGGCCATGGGCTACCTGAGCTTAGAGGCATTCTGGGTGCAGCCAGTGCTCAAGGACCGAGTGCCGGGTCCTCTCAGGACACAGGCGGGCTGGAGCCAGGTGTCTATTCTATATTATAAGGTGGAGCTTAGGATCCTGATGGAAGGAAGAATATGCAGAAGCTGGTCCACCGGGAACAGGTGACCCATGCTTGGGTCCGAGCTGCACACCGCCCTGCTGGGCAGCAGCTCAAACTGGTTTAAACTAGCCAAGGACAGGTTTCAGAGATGGCAGCTGGTCACTGTCACCAAGCAAGGTGTGAGTCTACACTGGAATGTCCAACACCCACCAAAAACATCTGTTTACCCTCTGCCTTTGGTTAAAGAAGTCATGCAAGGTACACTCAACTTTGGTTTTTAGTTCTCTGTGGCTCAAAGAGATATTTAGAGGTAGACAGGACAACTGCCTTGGTCTAGGTTGAGGCTGCATGCCCAGGAGGAGTGGGAGCTCTCAGCAGGGAGCTCAGTATCTGTGGAGGAGACATTCTTGGAAATTTGTAATAAGGAAAAAAAAATCTCTGTTTAACCAAAAATTTATTTATTTTTCAGTTCTACTCACTGGTCCTACTTCTGCATCCTAAAACAACATAAAATAAGTCCTCTTTCTCTCCTGGATTGTGGTGCCAATGTGCCTAGGGCTGCTGGACAGGTCTGGGCCTGCTGGGACGGGCCAGCTGTGCCCGGAGGCTATGGGGCCATTAGACAAGACTTCAGGTCAGGTCTTCACCAGCGCCTGATTTTGCACAGCCCTCAGTTGAGTGCTTTTCCCATTTTAAAAGGGCTGTTCAAAAAAAAAAAAAAGAAAAAAAAAAGCAGAAGAACACGTAATGGAGGTGATGTGAATAAAACCTAAATCATTTACTCTGCAGTCATTTATGGAGAGTTCCTTGGCTCCTGGTCTCACCCACAGGGCACAAGCTGGGCAGTAAGAACAATTCCCCTGCTGGCTTTGCTGGAGAGCATCTCTGCCTCCGCGGGCGGGCGGATCACCTGCCCCTCACAGATGCCTTGCTCTCCAGGTCTCTGAGTTTCCGGTCACAAAACATTTCAGAAGAGAAGAAACCTTGAGGAGCTGAGTACTGCCCAGCAGCTGTTGGGACAGCTCTGGGCATTAGGAGAGGGAGACTGTGAAGCCATCCACAGAGGTCAGAGGCCGCGAGGCTCTGCCGTGGCTTTGAGGACAGGACCTGGCCTGCTGCAGTGGTGCAGTCTGAGGCCAGGGAGCAGGGCGCTCCTGTGAGGCCAGCACACGGTTGGGGTGGGGGGGAGATGGCAAACAGGAGACAACAGGCCCACCTGACAGCAGCACACCCTTCTCCCCCACCACCGTGTGGAAAGCTCGGGGGAACTTCCGGATGAAGGCTGCAGCGTTGGCGGCCTCTGCAGCCCTCTCCACCTGCTCTGCTGTCACGGAGGAAGGGCAGTCCGCACCGTAAGCGATGTTCTCAGCAATAGAGCAAGAAAATAAAACTGGCTCCTACAAATTGGAACAAAGCATGTGTGTCACAAATTCCAAGGCAGAATTCAATCGCACCTCAGTGCCTTGGACTCTGCACAGCACTAGACCCAAGATGGGCCCTCGGCACAGAGGACGGACTCTGCTGTGGCTCTATGTCGTCCTCCTGCTCCGGCCACCCAGCATGCCCCTGTCTTACCCTGAAAGTGAAGCCAGATTTAAAGATAGGTAGTTAGTGTAGTTAGGTAAATCTAATAATGAATAAGATAAATAAAATGGAGGTCATTATAGAGAATGGAGTCCAGGAAACCAGAGCAGCACTTGGGGAAATTGAAATGTTAATGTCCCCAAGGCCTGGAGCCCATCCTAAGGAAATGTTTATAAAGCAGCACCCAGCAAAGAGGGAAATGCTAATCAAAAGCTGCCCCAGGCCTTTCCTACCCAGATTACTCCTTTAGCCCACCTATCTCCCACCTTTTGGGCCTTCCCACATGCATTCTATCACTGCAAGATAAAGGGAAACAAAAGACATGAGTGTGGGAAAGCTGAAAGAAGACGTTAGCTATAAAAAAGGGAAGACCTTCCCCTTCCACAGATTCTGCCTTTTGGGTCCTCTTATTCCTCCGGGAGAAGTCTTTTCTGCTGTCCTTTAATAAAACTTCTACTTTCCACTCTAAACTTGCCTCGGTGTGCTTCTCTGGTGTTATACTTCAGCATTCGGGGAAGCAAGGCCTGTCACCATTATCACCAGTAAACTGATAACAAAGGGGCCTGATCTGAGCACCTGCTATCCTCACCATGCTGCAGATGAGACCCTGCAGCAAGAGCCCACAGGGGCCAGACCACATACACCTGAGCACCTCCCTCAGGACTGGAGGACCCCTGTCCATCCCCTCCCAGATGACTCCCACTGAGGGTAGAGGGGCTCCTCCTCCTCCTGGGTGGCAGCATGTGAAGGGTTCCTAAAGAAAGGCTGCCTGCAGCTTCTCTCCAGTGCCCAGCGGACACTCTGCTTAGCACCCGTCACTGCGCCACCTGCCCCAGCCCAGAACTCTGAAACCTGAACTTCTCACAAAGGGCCTTTGCTTGCTTATTCCAAAAACCTGTCTCTCAAAGCAAGAGAATGGTGGGTGGTGACATGGGGCTTGGGACAAGCCCCTGAAAGCATCTGCAGTCTCCCTGCATCCTCTAGACTACACGTGTTCAGAGAAGCACAAGCCCCAGTCCTGGATGAAGCCACTGCTTCAACTGGTTGACACTTGGGATGAGGCAAAAACCTGTCATAGGATGAGCCTGACACACCTAGAAATTTGTGTCCTTCTCTCTTGAGAGGTGCAAGTTCCATAAAAAGCAAGGGGCAGAAGCAGCTTCAAAGGGTGAATGATGGACAGAGGCCTCATCTCACCTGACTGACGGTCCCAATCTTGGATCTCAGCCAGGCTGGGTTCAGCTGGCGGATGTCATGGCCATCGAGAAGAACAGCTCCTTGTAGGGGGAGAACAAAGTCGCTGAGCGCCAGGTAGCCAACGGCTAACAGGAACACAGACTGTGCCCGTAAGAGAGTTCCAAATACAGGTTTGTGAGGCTTAATGACCCTCCCCAAGTGGAGCCCAAGCCAGCATGTGAATTTCAGAGCCAAGAGGGGCCTTCTGGGAGGCCAAGTCTAGGGCTCCCTCAGCCTGGGCGAAGAGCCAGGCCCTATCACCTTCCTCAGCCTGTCCAAGCTCCTCCTCCTGGTGACTTGAGGCCCCACCATCAGATGCCCTGGGAAGGGCCTTGAGTCAAAAGAGAGCTACAAGGGAGAGGTGAGCTGGTCCACTACTGGCCCTCCCAGGGGTGCAGTGCTGATGGTGGTGCCAGATCCCACAGCCACCTGATGGGCCAGCACCAGCAGTGGCCTCAAGCTCTACCTGTTTTGAGGCAAAATCTCAGAGTGCCTTGGAACTTCAACTTGGAATCTGCTTTGTCAGCCCAGCCAGTGATTTTTGAGCTTTTATTACTCCTTAAAATATCCCCTGTGCATGAACCTAATCAAGGGGAATCTATTATCTGCCACTGAGAATCCGACCCACGCCACGGCAGAGATCTTAATTGATCAGAGGCCAACTTCACAGTCCTCACTAGCAGAAGTACTTCTGCTACTTCTGCATGCTAAGGGTACTCAGGGCTGAATGCTAATAACACCAGGAGTGCAGCTCCTCTCCAGCAGAGCTGAGACACTGAGGGCCAGCTGGAAACCCACGGGGGCTATGCCCATAGAAGACGGAAGAGGCTCAGGTACAGCTCCCTCGACCTTGATCTATTTGCTCTGCAAGAAACCAGACTCAACTTATTTTGATTTGATTTGTATCTACCTGGCTATGATTATTTAAACTCAGAACTTCACAGCATGTCAAGAGTGAATCCCAACAGCAACTCTGGAGGCAACAGAATGGTCCCCCATCCAGAGCAGATGGGGCTTCCTGGCTTAGAATCTGCAAGCCAAGTGTGCACAACACCTCACCAGCTGCATGTGGCTTAAACAAGAGTGCTAGATGAGAAATTCTTCATGAAGTCACAACTCTGGTCACTGACAGTCGTTTACTTGCTGACAACCGTTTTTTTCAATCCAAATCCAAAGAGATACACACTAATTATCTACTATGGGAAGGATGTAAAAAAGTGAAATCATGTGCTTTTGCTCTTAAGGACGTTGTAATTTGGGGCTGGGGTTGTGGCTCAGTGGTAGAGAGCTCACCTAGCGTGTGCGAGTCCCTGGGTTCGATCCTCAGAACCACATAAAAATAAATAAATAAAACAAAGGTATTGTGTCCAACTACAACTAAAAAATAAGTATTAAAAAAAAGATGTTGTAATTCAGTTAAAAGTAAAATTAAAACTAGAATGACAGCTGGGCACGGTGGTGTACACCTGTAATCCCTGCAGCTCAGGAGGCCGACACAGGAAGAACACAAGTTCAAAGCCAATCTCAGCAACGTAGTGAAGCCCTAAGAAACTCAGTGAGACCCTGTCTCTAAATAAAAAAAAAAAAAAAAACCAGAAAAGGGCTGGGGATGTGGCTCAGTGGTTAAGTGCCCCTGGTACCAAAAAACAAACCAACAAACCCAAAAATCCATTACGAAAATCCCTCCTAGTTCAAAACATTTCAACAGGGCTATCACATGGACATGAATCACTGATGGCCAAATGGCCAGACTAAGTGTTTTCTCATGACCAATGAACCACCCCCAGGAAGGAGCGTCTCTGGGGCTCCCAGGGCTCCTGTGCACAGCACCTCATGCTGTGAGGGGTGCCCAGCAGCCCATGAGCCCCCTGGCTACAAGCACTGCCTCACCTGCCTCACTCTTGTCCTCTCAGGGAGAGTTGGAGTTCTGGGCTTGAAGAGGCAGAACACAAAACCTGGAAAACTGAGGATGCCTCCCACTTTGGGGAGGTCCTGCCTGGAAGGAGCAGCTGGCGTAGAGCACCCAAAGCTCTGCAGTCAGGAGGGTGCCCTTGCCCACAGCATGGCGACACTTACCAGAAAGGGGGTCATACAGTCGCAGTAGAAGCGAGACCACAGTGGATTTGCCAGAGCCACTTGGGCCAACCAGAGCTGTGACAGATCCTGCCGGGATGGAAAGGCTGAAATCCTGAAATATGGGCACCTCTGGACGAGCCGGGTAGGCAAAGTGCACGTTCTTAAACTGCAAGGCGCCTTGGAAGCTCTTCTCACGTAGAGTGACCCCTTCTGAAACACAGGAGGGACCCAGGTACTTAAGGCAAAAACCAAACTTGTCTGAAGATGGACGGGGATAGGGGGACCCCTGCAGCCACTTAGAGGGCACTCCTGGGGAATGAAGGTACAGACCTGTCTCTAAGGCTGGCTATGCGGCCACCCTCACCTGCTGCAAACATAGCACCACGTGTATAAAGGCTCATTTGACCTCACAGCCCAAGAGTCCAGCTTTTCTGTGGTCATGGGGTAATAGAGGCCAGCATGGCTGGGCTAGCAGTGCAAGTGAGATCCAGCCTCTGAGCAGTCTGATGTAAACCCACTGGCCTCTCCCAGCCTACTCTCCTGGTGCAGGGCATCATGTCACCCTGAATAAATACTCGATGACTGGAGTGTTGCACAACAGTGGAGTCAGAGGTCTGCTCTGCCAGTGCCACTTGCCCTGGTGTGGGAGACAGGGCTTAGCCTCTTGTGGGGTGTGTGTCCAGGGCCATCACACTGGAGAGCACCATCTTGCTGGACCTGCCCACCCCACAGTGCCTAGGAGCCCATGAGAGTGAAGAGTGGTCACAACCTCTGCCAAGTCTGCTGAGTCTATGAGCTGGCTCAGGCCCAGGGCGGCAGGAAGCTGCCCACGAGCAAGGAGGAGGCTCCAGCCACTCAGTACCAGGTCCTTCACCCCACCCCAAGTGCCAAGAAATACAGTCTTTTAAATGTTAGGTCTGGCCCCTTCCTCCCATCCCAACCCCTCACAGGTCTGCTTGGTAAACTGGCTGTGGCCCTTCTTGGAGGTCAGTGTCCACACATCTAAGGATGGTGGCCTGTAGCAGCTGTCCTTCCCTCATCCCCTCTCAGAGGAAACCTGAACCTTTCCCTGCTGTGCATGGGGACCATGTCCTTGTAATGTGCTGGACTTAAGAAGCCAGACTGCCTCACCCCCAGCAGACAGCAGCCCATTTCACACCCACCGTCAATAGGCATCTGGGGCTGCCTCTCCAAGAGCTCCCAGAGCCGGCCACCGGCACCCAGGCCCTTCATCAGCTCTGAGTAGAAAGAGCTCAGACCTGCAGAAGAGAAGCATCCATCAGCATGGTCAGGAAGGACACCGCAGCTCCATCCCACGGGAGCCCTGCAGAGGTGCACTTTAAGGTGAGATCTGTCACTTCTGAGTCAGGAGGTGAAACCGTCCTCACCATTCCCTGACCCCCCCCTTGCTTCTGGGCAGCGAGCCGAGGCTGGTGTGCTGAAGGCACTTCCACTTTAGGTGTTTTCCAGTTTTGGTTGGTTATAGGGACACAGCCCATCCCTCAGTCAGGGAGTCTCTGTACACAAAGCACTCTGAAAACTGAACCACAGGAGGGTGCGGTGCCCACGTCTGTCATCCCAGCTGCTCAGGAAGCTGAAGCAGGAGGATCACAAGTTCAAGGCCAGCCTGCACAACTTAGCATGGCCCTCAAAATAAAATAAAAAAGGATTGGTGTGCAGTTCAGTGGTGGAGCAGGACAGAAGAAAAGCCTTTGCTTTCAAACAACAAAACCTTCAAGTCAGACACCAGGTCCACTGACAACACAGAACCAGCATCTTTTAACCAGACCTCAGTCACTTGCCTGGCCTTTCCACCACAGGCTGGGAGGAAAACAAGGCCCACAGCCATCTGCCAGGCTGGCCGGGGTCTTGTGCGAGGTGCAGAAAAAATACTCCAGACTTCACAAAGGCTTTTCCCCTTCCAGGAACGGACAGCAAAAGCTAAACCCTGAAAGACCCTCTCTCCCTTTTCTTCCTTTTTTGTTTTTGAGACAGGGTCTCCCTATACTGCCCAGGATGGCCTTGAGTGATTGGGCTCCAGTGATTCTCCTGCCTCAGCATCTAAGCAGCTGGGACAGCAGGCATCCAGCTCTGAGAGAGTCTTGGCAAAAGCAAGCAAGTCTGTTTCATGCACTTGATAATATGTCAAGCAAATATGTCGAGATATATATAAACATATATATAAAGACAAACACACACACACACACACATTATACCTTAGATTGAACCCAGGGGCTCTTAACCACTGAGCCAACCACTAAGTCACATCCCTATCTCTTTTTACTTATTTTGTTTAGAGACAGGGTTTTCCTAAGTTGATGAAGCTGGCTTTGAACTTGCAATCCACCTGCTTCAGTCTCCTGAGCCTTACAGGCGTTACAGGCGTGCATCACTGTGTACCTCTAAAGTTGATATTTTTAATTGTTCATTTTGAGTATGGTTAGCTTTGTACAAAAGGAGCTTTATTTCCCAGTGATTTGCCAGTAGTATAACTATCGCCAGCACAGGACTGTATTTTCTGTGTCCACAGATGTTCAGCACCACCCTGGCCTCCCTGCATCTGTGAGCAGTGGCAGCTGTTTAAACAGCAGGGATAGAGGGTTCCCAGCAATGCTGAGCTGCAGGAGGCCCACAAAGACCCTGAATGTCCCAGAGGGCCCACTGGCTACTCTCATGACTGCATTTTCTTTTAAAGCCCAGTTGGAATAACATCATAAGGAATGTCTGTACAGATGAAAGCCTGATTTTTAATTCATAAATCCCCAAATCACTTAAATTATGTACCTCCAATGCTCAGTCCAACCCAGAAGGCATACATGAGGAAGGAAGAGAGCTCGCCCACCGTCATGTGGGCAGCACCCATCAGCAGTCCTCCCTTGTACAGGACGGATAGCACGATCAGGTTCCCAGACAGTCCCGTCTGTGGGAGGAGAAAACACAGAGTCAGGGAAAACCAAGGGCCTCTTTGGACACTAAAAGCAGGGACCAGGCCTCTGATTTCCTTCTTCAGACTTAAAATTTCATCTGGATTTCAAACAAAACAATGATTCAAAATACTGAAACAGTATTGCCATAATCTTATCACCATGAAAACCTAGGTGCTGAGACACCCAGCAGGCTCCCATTCCACTCACTCTGTTCCGCCTGCAAAGGAAGACTGAGGACCCGTCGCTCACCTACACATCTGATGCTGTGACTCCACACTGTGCTGGCCCTGGTGCCCTGCTAGACCATCAGGTGGTGTGGGGCCTCGGTAAGGGCAGCCTTCTCTGGGTCACTGTTTCCATGTTAACTGTGGCAATCACCAAATCACCTCTAAAGTTCTTTCCAGTTTGGACATATCACTGAAATGTGTCCTATTTAGGTTTATGGCAACCGAGTTCTTACACTTGAAAGACTCTGAGGTTATCCAGGTTAATCCTTAGTAGGTATCAAATTCATCTGTATCACAATGACCCAGAGCCCTGTTCAAACACAGACTTGCTGCCCAGCCCTGGTCGAGGTCGGGAAAGTGGGAACTAAGGGCCCCAGATGGGGCTCACCCTGAGAACCAGCCCAACCTGCCCAGGCCACCTTCTCCTCATGGTATTTACTTGTTTTCCTGATAATGACTAACTATTTTCTATTGTGTCAAGAGCCACAGAATAAAGATCTCTCACAATCCTAGCACCTGACTTTCCATTCCTTCCAGAATGACCCACTTACTGCTCCGAAAAAGCCAGCCCGAGCAAAGGCCTCCTTCCTTGCCAACTGCATGACATGGTCCACTCTGTGAGAGTATTTCTCCACCTCAGCCACCTCTTTGCCAAAGGCTCGCACAGTTCTGATATTTCCGATGCACTCCTCTGCTAGCTGCAGGGACACAGGTGCATTACAGGGAAAAGGGGCACACTTGAGTCCAGAAGCAGAAGCAAAATGTGATTCTTATTTAAAACACTATCAATGGAAAGACACTCATGAAACCCAGCTAGGTCAGGATAGGGCCAAGTACACAAACCACCCCACTGTTGAAAAGCACATCAGACAGACAGAGCCAGATGATTGACAGAGAACAGGCAGATGACACACAGGCTTATGCAGGTAAAAAGACAGACTTCAAAACACTGATGGTATTAATTCTGAAGCAGGATTATCCACGTTTTTCTCTTTTCTCATATTCTCACATTTTTCCAATGATAAGCAAGCATGGCTTTATAATGTGAAAATATCAAGTTATTTTCATTTTTTGCAAACCTGGTTTCACACAGCACTCTAGAGCTTGCTTATTGACTTAATGGAGGGCACAGTATCGTCTAGAAACTATTACTAGAACATGACTAGCTTTTTGGCCCTGTCAGAGACAGCAATAGCAAGACATGAGAGAGTGGAACAGTATCAGGTCAGGCTGGACATGCTCTGTGACGCGGTGCAATGACCGCAGAGGCTGTGTTTGGGGCAGGGTCTGACGTGAGGAAAGGGAGAGCTGTGTCCTGTGGTCCTTGCTCCGAGCCTATTCCCCTGGACACCATAGCACGGGAAGGCCATTACCTGAGTGGCTTGTGCCAGAGAGTCCTGTGTGGCTTTGGATAGGTTCCTCAGGTATCGCCCATAAGCCACTGCAAGGATGGACATCGGAGGCACCACACTCAGGACAAAAGTGGCCAGGGCAGGTGAGACAAAAAACTGTGGGAAAAGTGGGGGTGCTCGTTAGGCAGAGCTGTAGTCTTCTCTGCTCTGTGCCAGGGAAGCGGCTTAATAGCGCTATCCCCAGGCCAGGCCGCCTGTCTTGGGAGAGCTTATCAGACCTCTTTAATCTTTATAAAACCCCATGAGTGCTACGCAGAAGTAAAGTGGCACAGAGCCAATGGAGAAAGATGAGATGCTCGTGCTCAGGCCAATCCGGGCATGTCAGGGCAGCGGGTCCAAAAGTGGGGGCAGATGGGCGTCCAGCAGGGAGAATGCCACCTTTTTTGTGCATGGCAGAGGTGTTCTGTCAACTCTGCAATCCAGTGACCTGCGAAGGGGCACTAGTGCCTGCTCAGCACATGACAGAACCCACTAGGTCCCATCTGCACAGAAAGCAGGTCTCCTAACTGTCCCAGGGAACACCAGGGACTGACGGGAAAGTAATGAGCAGATCCATCAATCGGCTCTTTTCTCTCAGGGGAAACTCCTGCCAAGTGCTCACACAGCGAGCAGCACCCAGGTGCTAGACAGAGGCTTGGCCCACACGTGGGAGTTGGATGATGAGGAGGAAGAGGGGCACATGTCCAGGGCCACCGGTCTTGGGAGGCCTCTCCACCACAGGGCCAAGCAAGACACAGGACTTGAGGAGGAACGAGTATGCTCACAGGTCCCTGAGGTACTCGGCTCAGGGAGCAGCTCACATCTGATAGTGTCCTCCAGGTAGAGAGGCACAGGCCCCCGGGATTCTCCAGGACTGGGGTGAGCCCAGACCACCCTCCCACCTTGTTCTGCATCCAGGCTTAATAAATGTCCTTCTGTTGCCTAACCAGGGTCCCAGCACCAGAAAGGGGCATTTTCCAGGGCAGAGTACACATTTTCACACAGGGAGGAAATGGCAGGGTGGTGTGGGCAATATCCGCTCTCAGGGGGTGGACCCCAGCCCTGTGCAGGGGGATCAAAGCCCACCACTCCTCCAGAGCTGAGGACAGATCCCAGTGATGCTCCACAAGAGGACCACTGTGGCTGGAAGTTTGTTTTTACCCCAGACTCCTGTGTGGGAGCCCTAAACCCCAGGGTTGGAGATGAGGCCTGAGGAAGTAACTAAGGCCCAAAGACGTCAGGGGAAGACCTGGGTCAGGGAAGCATGCTTGCCAGGAGGGGCAGCTTTCTCCTATGAGCACATGGCAAGATGCTGGTTACTGACAGGCCAAGGGAAGAAGCTTCAGACTGACCCTGGAATTGCAGCTTCCAGACCACAAGAAACACATGTCTGCTCTCTAAGCTTGTGGACCTCAGCTATGGCATCCAGTGAAGGGGGCAGGCCCTTCACACAGGACTCCTACTACACTGGACTCTCCCTCACAGTACAGAGCTTCCCCAACTGCCCTCTCCTGAGCCCCAGGACCATGAAGGCACTTGAGTGTGGGAAGGCATATGTTCCCGGGGTCTATTTCTCCTGCAGCTATAAAACCATGACACTTCAAAGCTCTTTTCCATCCTGTACATCAGATCTAGCAGGTAGATGCTAGCAATAGGTCCTTCCAATCCTCGATGCTACGTGGAATACAGAACAAGACCAAAACTCTTCTTCTTGTGAGAAAGCGTTAAAGGGTATGCCCTCAGCCCCCCATTCAGATACCGCCCATTCAGAAACTGCCGTCAAACAAGAGCCTCAGGTGGCCCTCGGCCCGTGAACTGCGGCAGGTGTGGCAGGAAAACCGAACTGCTAATTTCACTTAGGATTGATTAAGATCAATACTCCAGTGATTGGCAAGCTTTCAAGTATGCCTGCAAACCCTCCACATGTCAAACTATTGTTTCACTTGCAAATTTTAGGAAATCTAAAGCTGGATCAGGCCTTGCCAAGGAAAATTCTGCACCCATATCGAGATGTTACTTAAGTGGAAAACACACATGGAGCTTGGAGTTATAATATGAAAAAAGTAAAATACAGTTCCTCACTAGTGATTGTGACAGGAATTACACGTCAAGATGATAACAGTCATTCACACTGTTAAACAAACACCATCATCATCAGCCTTATGTCCTTTCGCTTTTCTGAGCGTGGTCAGAACACTGAGGTCAGGACGCAGCTTGAGCCACAGCCATCAGGCCCGTTGTGCTGGTCTGAGAACAAACACTGGCTGAAAGTGAGGCGAGCCAACTAGACAGGTCCAGCCAGCCACCAAGGACAGCACAGCCAGGGGTGCAGAGCCCCTCGCAGAAGCACAGCTGCCACCATGCAGAATCGGGTCTACCCCCACAGGCCCAGCTCCCTTGCCTCCTGCTGCTGGGCTGCCAGGGCTCCCGCATGCTCAGAAAACCTAGCAATGTCGAGAGGGGCTGTTCTGTGGAGCTTCTGGAGAGATGCAGGGAGCCCAATGGGAGAGGAGACCCCGTCACTGCAGCCTCCAGGACAGCTGGCCTCCACCTGTCAGGATGCAGAGACCTGGCCCAGCTGAGCCCACCCAGCCAGCAGGTCCTCAGGAGAAGCCCACCTACCATCATGCCAATGCCAACTGAGGCCTGGGCTCCAGCCCTGAGCCCGTCCGAGAGGTTTTCAGTCACCGAGCGCCCCAGGAGCGCAGTGTCTGAGGACAGGCGGTTGATCAATTCTCCTGTGCGAGTCTTGTCAAAGAAAGCAACATCCTGCCTCAAAACAGAGGAGAACAGCGAGGTTCGAAGCCTGTTCACAATGCGCTGACCTGTGGAGCAAGCGGAGGGCTCTCAGAGTGCTGCCCAGCACCTGGAGGGCTCTCAGCATGCTGCCTGTCACCAGGAGGGCTAGAGTGGGGCTGCCCGTGAGGGCTTTCAGTGTGCTGCCCATCACCAGGAGGGCACTATGGCTGCACGCAGCCCGTCACTGACTTCCTCCTAGGATGGACAGTGCTGCTGATGAGGAGACAGGAGGTGAGTAGAGAGTATCATGAAGAAGCTCGAGTACATTAAATCTTTCCCTTTTTCTTATTTATTTTTTTGGTACTGAAGTTTGAACCCAGAGGTGCTTTACCACTGAGCTACATCCCTGTCGTTGGTAGTTTTTCATTTTAAGTCAGGGTTTCATACGTTGCTGAGGCTGGCCTTGAACTTGTGAGTCTCCTGCCTCAGCCTCCCCAGATACTGGGTTTACAGGTGTGCACCACCACACCTGGTGATTACACTGATCTTTAAAAGGTAATTTTTCTCCTTCCTGGCACCTCTTTTGCATTGAGCTTCCGGTGCAAGAACTAGTGAATTATCCACACAGTGTTTTATTAACGGAGCGGCACAACAGCCCTAGAGGCAGTGCCCTGGCATCGGCGTTGGGTGTTTTCCTGCCTGCTAAGAACTAGACTACTCAGAAGAAATACAGCAAAGTTGCTGCCCCCGCCACTACATAGCACAGAGCAGAAAGCAGGGAGCCGTCCTTAAAGCCAACCTGCAGCCAAGGGCCTTGTTCTCAAACCTCCTATAAGACCCACATGGCATTTCCCTTACTGCTGAGCCCAACTAGGCAAAACAGAGTCAAGAAGAGAGCGCTGGAGCAACGGCAACTCCAACGTCGTTTCTGGCTGACTGGGATCTGCGGCCCTGAATGTGATGCTGGCAGAGAAGAATAGCTGGGCTGGCTCAGTGGGCCCCTGGCCTCTCTGGAGACTCGCTGCCTGAGACCCACCTGAAGACTGCATGAGGTAGACGCGGACGGCATTGGCAGCTGCACCACACAGGAACACGCAGGTCAGCCCCAGGCAGAGGTCGGTCAGGCTGGCACTACTGTCCATGGTGGGGCTGGCATAGATGACATCGATGACCTTCCCCAGGAAGAAAGGGGCAGACATGGTGACAACACTGGACACGGCCAGAAACCCAACAGCGGCTGGAAGACAGAAGGCGGCTCAGTGGGGCAGCTGCTGGGGCTCCTTCCCAACTTCCAGACTGCAGGGCGACCCCAGGGGCCAGGCTCTCCTTTTCACCCCTCACCAGGACAGCTGAGAGCCAGCAGGGCACCCCGGATACCATCCTCTCCCCACCCTGGCATTCTGCTGCAGCTGTGCACACCTGCCTCTCCCTTGGCATCCTCTCTCTCTTAGCTACAGGACAGATTCCAGGTCAGGGCTGGACTCTGTCTAGTATTGCAGGCCTCTGAATGACTTTTGGGAAGCAGTCTCTGGACCCGTTACACATCATTGCATCCCAGGGAATCAGGCACTGGGGCCTCAGCATGTGCTGAGTAATAAGGACACGCGGGTTCGTGTTCCTGAAGACAGACTAGGGGAGAGTCCTGTGGGAAGAGGAGGTACTACAAAATCAAATCAGGAGCACACAGCACAGACATCTGAACCTGTGGGAGGGCGGCAGTGAAGCCTGCACCAGAGCTTGCCGCTGTGGCTGTGGCAATGGCAAAGGGCACGTGGTGTGCCAGCCAAGCTACGAGCTGTGGAGCAAGCCCCTCCCACTGCTGAGAATGCAACTGGCACGATCTTGATGGAGAGCAGCCTGGCCCGGAGTCCCTCAGACTGAGAACGCACAATGCCTTTGATCCAACAATGCCGGCTCTGAAAACTTCCTGCAGACACACTTCCACAGGGAGTCAAAACAGACTCAGTTGGGTGCCATGTGCCCACCTGAAATCACAGATACTCAGGAGGCTGAGGCAGGAGAATCACAAGCTTGAGGCCAGCCTCAGTAACTGAGTGAGGTCCTAGGTAACTTAGTGACACTGTGTCTCAAAACAAAAAATAAAAAGGGCTATGATGAGGCTCAATGTTTAAGCACCCCTGGGTTCAATCCCCAGCACCAAAAAAAAAAAAAGAAGAAGAAGAAGATGATGATGATGATGATGATTCAAGAGTGTTCACTAAGGCACTGCTTATACCAGTAAAAAGAATAAAAACATCCTACTCTTCTGTTGGTGGGGAACAAATGAGATCTACTTTGCAGCATTGATTTTACGAATGCTGTGCAGTCGTTAAGAGGACAAGGTAACCTCACAGGCATGGAAATGGAACCTCCACCAGGATCACTATTGGTTAAAACAAATCTAGGACACAAATGCCCACGCATGTGCCGTCCAGTCCTTCTCCCCATACTTCTTATTGGTGCCTTACAGCTGTACATTTGTCTTTCACTTCTTGGTTTTTCAAGTTTACACATGTGCAGGACACCTGCAAGAGTGATATCTAACAGCCTCCCAGGTTCCGTCCAAGAGCAGCTCTGGGCAGGTAGGTACAGCATGGCTTCCCATTCGCTAGGTGCCTCTGGCTTGGTGATCAGTGTACACGTCACCCTTAAGGAACCCACTAGGAACCACTAGTCCCCGCCAGGCTCAAGGTGGACAGAGCCCTGTGAAGAGGAGCCCCAGCACTGGGCAGACGGACTGTGCTGGCTGGTGGCTGGCACTCACAGTCACGGGGTCATGGAGAGCGGAGTGCAGGCCCCACAGCGGCTGGTGTGCCCTAGAGCTCTGGGAGTGCAAGCCTGGAAGTGCAAGCCTAAGAGCTCCAGGAGTGCAAGCCCGAGAGCTCTGGGAGTGCAAGCCAGAGAGCTCCTGGAATGCAAGCCTCCCCTCCCCAGGCTCTGCTGCCCCACTGCTGCTTCCTCCTCTCCTCATGAGTCTCCACGTCTGCCACTGTCTGCCACCAGCTGGCCGTCTAAGTGTGCCTGACTTGCTCTGCGTCCAGGAGTGATTTTGGCCTGCCCTGCACCCTGCTCTCCCCCACCCCTGCAGGGATGGGCACAAAGCGAAATTTCAACCAACACCTGTCGAATGAATGAGCGAATTGACCTTTGGCAAAGGCGGTAGCAAACGCTCATCAGCCCAAAGCCCTCCTGTACCCCACCAGGAACGTGAGGCCGGGTTTAAAAACCAGTGCGTTTATCTGGCTAGCGTGACACTGGCCAAGGCCAGCTCACCTTGATGTAAGGCCAGGTCTTCTTTCAAAGTACCCTGCGCCTGGCCACGGGGCACCGAGGGACTGCAAGTACAGAGAGCTCCCTGCTGGGAAGAGCTGTCCCAGGGCCCAAGACCAGCACAGAACCCCCCCAGAAGTACAGCACACATGCAGTGCGAAGGTCCGAAGGTCTGTCTCCTCCCACCACGCTGGTTTCTCACTCCAGTGAATGGAGCGCCCTGGGGTCTCACACCATCAAGGGGCTCAACACAGAGGAAGGAAAGGCTGGATTCAAGCCCCCTGCAGGGTCACACACCCTCAGGTTTGCTTGTCATTCATTTGAACAGATATCTTAAGGGTGAGTGTGTGTTCGGCTGGTGATCGGGTCTCACTATGCTACCCAGCTGGTCTTGATCTCCTGGGCTCATTTGATTCTCCCACCTCAGCCTCCCAAGTGGCCAGGACCACAGAAGCATGCCACACACCCTGCTTAAAATACACAGCAGCATGTGTTACTGCCATGTGCCTCTTTCTGTCACAAGTCAAATGTAGGTAAAGTGAAGATTCTCCAGCTTTGGGTTGACTATATCCCTGTGGTCATGGCATCACTGCGTGTCACTGTCTCTAATGTTGACAGTCAATCTAACTTGCATCTCAGGCCCTTGTGAAACTTGTCCCCACCCTTCCTCCAGGACTAAGCCTCTCCCTCGGCCCATCCATCCCTGCCTGACAGGGCTCCAGCCTCTTTAGCTGCATCTCCTGGCATCTTCAGTGCTGCTCTCTCCCCTCCTCCCCCAGCATGGCATTCAGAGACAAGGGAAATACCCTTTAGAAGAGAGGGGAGCAAGTGCAGACTCAGGCTGCTAGGGCAGACACCAGCTCTCAGAAGAACAGGGCTTGGGGCCAAGCGGCTGGAGGACAGAATGAGGCAGGTCTGGCAGGATCCCACGTCTGGCTGAGCTGCCTGACCCTGCACAGGTCACTCAACTCCCCTGTGCCTCAGTTTCTTTTTTTTGTAAATGGCAGTACAAATGACACCTCCCCATGGAGTTGCTGCGAGGCACAGACTGGACGTGTCTGGAGAGCCTGTGGTCCAGAGCCAGTCCCAGCAAACAAAACCAGCTGTCACCTGTGGTACCATCAGTGCAGGAATGGCCCCACCTGGCCTGGGCCACAGGGGAAGGCAGCTGGGGAGGGAGCAGCTTTGGTTTTCAGGCTGTTGGGAGACATGCTGTGGAGGAGGTAGTATGGTGGAGCACAGGAGGGGAGGCCAGGGGCCCTGCATGCAGGGAGGGAGGGGAAGGCACAAGGGGCCAGCAGAGGGGCAGAGGGCTCAGCAGACTCCACAGGTTCCTGGAGGGAGATGCAGATGAGCCCCCGAGCCGCCCCCCGCCCCCCGCCCCCTGCGCCGCTGCCTCTGCCCACACTGGCTCCTGCTCACAGAGGCCAGACCTGCCCCACCAAGAATAAGGGGCCACCTGGCAGACCATGGGAGCCACCCATGTAATGCAATTTTCTAGTTGCTACATTAAGAAAAGGAATAGGGCACCAGACGCAGTGACACACACCTGTGATCCCAGTGTCTCAGGAGGCTGAGGCAGGAGGACTGTAAGTTCAAAGCCAGCCTCAGTGACTTAATGAGGCCTAAGCAACTTATTGAAACACTATCTCAAAATAAAAAGGACTGGGGACATGGCTCAGTAGTAAGGCACCCCTTAATTCAATTCCCAGTACCCCTCACACCAAAAAAGAAAAGAAAAGAAAAGAAATAAAGCCAGGGCCAAGGCTCTGGGTTCTAACCCCAGTACCATAAAAATAATAATAATGCTGGGCACAGTGGCGCACGCCTGGGATCCCAGCAGCTCAAGAGGTTGAGGCAGGAGGATCACAAGTTCAAAGCCAGCCTCAGCAACGGTGAGGTGCTAAACAACTCAGTGGGACCCTGTCTCTAAATAAAATTTTAAAAAGGGGGCTAGGGATGTGGCTCAGTGTTTGACAGCCCCTGAGTTCAATTCCCGGTACCAAAATAATAATAATAATAATGTTTAAAAATAGATAAAATTAAATAACATTTAATTTGACCCAATATATCCAAACCATTATTTGCATGTAACTGACGTTTTACAATTCTCTGTCCTTTCAGAACCTGACAGGTGTTGACACTGTGCTCAACACCAGCCACACACCTCACAGCTCTGTTGTGGAAGGCCAGCATTGTCTCTGAAACAGGTTTCTGTGGCACTGGAGGGTGCTCCATGTGGAGGGCTCGCCCTCCCTGTCCTCAAGCCCCATCCGGGGTGGACCCTGCCCTGTCGGGCTTTAGGAAGCAGCACCCTGAGCACTCCCTGGCCTCCCCTGGCTCCCATGCCTAGTGGCATAGCCACTGTGTTCCCTGTGCTTGCTGCAGGGGCAGCTCAGCCAGTGGCCCCCTCTCACACCACCCAGCCCCTTGGTAATTCAGGGAGCAGTGCCCCTGAGCTCTCCACCCTGGCACTACCTGAACACATAGGGTGGGTAGTGTCCACAGCCTAACCACAGAGCCACCAGGACTGTGTCCCCCACCCCACCCCCACCCCCGGGAGAGATGGGCTGCCTCCCAGGGCTGAGGCCGCACAGGAAGAGCTCTGGGCTGGAAGCGCCTTCTGGCAGCACAGCATCCTGAGCCCAGCCTGCCTATCTGCCTGTCAGGCAGGAGGCCTGAAGAAACACTTCCTATCTGGAAGCACACACCTGCTCCTCCTGGGCCCCGCACCCTCTGAGGCTCCTTGTGGTCAAAGTGATAAGAAGAAGAGTTATCAGTGCAAAAGGCTCTGGCACCTCTCTGCCAAGGGAAAGAGACAGCAGCATGCAGAGCAAGTCAGAGGACAGCAGTTCCCCTGAGGCGGAGTGGAGACAGCTAATCCTGCCTAGCAGGCATCTGCAAGCATGTCTAAGGGCAGGCTCTGGTGTGCCAGCTCCTGGCACAAATCGATGACATCAAACAGAACCACACAGTTCAGGAGCACACTGAGCAAACTGCTGAGACATGGGGAAGGGTTTTTACTCAAATATAAACCTACCTTTTGGGAGTGTGTATGGTGCTGGAATGGAGCCCAGGGCCTTGAACGAGCTAGGCAACTAAGTACTCTGCTACTGAGCTTCAGCCCCAGCTAAACCTACATTTTTGGATAGGGATTTTCCCACTAAAATTAACAAATTAACACTGGAATTCCTTCTTGTCACCTCAGCTATTGTGGCATCTCAACTTGAAGACATACAATTACTCCATACCCGTGGCACTCAGAGACGGCCAACACTGGGATGCTCTTAGGATAATCAGCTACCAATTAATAGTGATCCCCACTAACCCCAAACACCAACCACAGATGGCCCTGATAAGTTATCTATGACAACTTCTGAGGGGACCCTATGGTCTAATAAGGGCTTTTCATCAATTTCCTCAGGACATAAAACATGCCCTGTTCAAAAAAAATTGGTGTGCTGACCACAGGTTTATTCCTGAAATCACACATTCAACATTTCAACAAGGCAGACCACAACAGCTCCCACGAGGAGGAGCAGTCCTTGGTTGTCTAAGACACTCTTTACAACATGCCAGCACAGGACAGGTGGGGACTGTGGGAGTGACAGGAGCGGTTACAGGACAGGCAGGGCTGGCCCCGTTGATCCCAGCACACTGGACACTTGAAAACCCTGACATCTGATGCTTCAGAAATAGAGCAAAACTGGATGTCTCCACCAAGCCCCAAGCCACTTACAGGAGCACCGGGCACACCCTGATGCCCCATGGGGGCCTGGGTCATTTGGTCCTTTATGTAAGGTGCTCCCCCTCAGCCCCACACACTAAGAGCTGGACACTGGAAGATGGACCAGCCCCAGCCTGTGGGACGGCTCAGCCCAGGGAGACCTCTTTTCTCAAAACTCTTCTAAAAGAGGAAAAGGATCTTTTCCATCAAAATCTACAACATCAACTGAACTATGAAATGACTCTCTTTATACCTAAGTACCCCAAGAATCCCTTAGACTCCCAAGATGAGAGGTGGCACCTGCCTGCTCCCCTCTGGTGCAAATCTGACCTGAACCCAAACTCTGGCCCCAGGAGGGCACTTTCCATGGCAAGGAACTGCCAGCAAGGAATTCTGTGGCAGGAACAACCTCACAGGCCCTTCTCTCCAACTATAGAGATGTCCTCCTTAGTCTCTTCACACTGAGTTGGAAGCCCAACAGGGGCAGGGCCCTCCATCTCTGCCTGCCAGCTATGTAGACATCCCTCCAAGACAAGCAGTGGCCTAGCAGTAACCCCAGCCACTCCAGAGGCTGAGGAAGGAGGGAGGCTGAGGAAGGAGGACAGAAGTTTAATACCAGCCTGGGCAACTTGGTGAGACCCTATCTCAAAGTAAAAATAAAAAGGGCTGGGATGTACTTTAGCAGCAGAGCACCTCTGGGTTCAATCTCACTACCATAAATAAATAATAAATTAAATGTTCTCTATTTGCATGTTGTTTCTAAAATCATTCATTTTGATTTCTTTTTTAAAAACCACTTCGATCACAATTCTATGGAATAAGGTCCAGTTTCTTTGCCAGGGCAACCCGGGAGTCCTGGCCAGGTGGTCACCGATCATCACTCAGGGTAACCAAGAGGTGCATCGGGGTTCGCACAGCTTTGTATCACCTGTTGAAAGACTGCTGATTGCGTGATTAAAGAGCTCAATCCCGGTCACGTTTTTAAAAATGGTACAAATGCTAGTGCAAAGTAGACATATTTCTGGCAGAATTAATTTTTAAAAAGAGGGAAACCCCAATTCATTCAGAGAATGACCCAAAGGAGATGCTCCCACGAAGCCGGTGGCTGGGCGCGCCAGCCCATGGAGAGCCCAGGGCAAGCCCTACAACAGGCGCGGCCACCTGCGCGTCTCCACAGCCCCGTCGGCACCCAGGCGAGCCAGGCCACCCCGCGCGCAGCGGCCCCTCGCGGCACGGCTCCCTACCTGCCAGCCTCCCGCGCTCGGGGCGCACCAGCCCCAGCAGCTTCCGGGCTTCCGAGCGCCCGGCCACAGCGGGGCGCGACCGCCAGTCCTCCCCGGGGCTCGCTGGTGGCCCGTGCCGCCCAGCCTCCGTCCCAGCCCCGGCCGCCGCCGGGGGGCCGCCCTGGAGCCCGCTGCCCTGGGACCCGGCCCAGCGCCCCGGGGCCCTCGCAAGGCCCGCGCCGCCCGGCAATCCCGGCCGCGCTGACAGGAGAGTAGGGGCGCGGGCGGCCCGGGTCCACTCGAGGGCCGACGATGTCCACGCGCGGGCAGCAGGGGTCCACGAGCGGGCGGCCCGGGTCCACTCATGGGCCGACGCTGTCCAGGTGCCGGTTGCCGGGGTCCATGCACGGACGGCTCGAGTCCACTCGTGGGCCGATGATGTCCCTGCGCGGGCGAGTGGGGCCCGCCGCATGAGCAGCAGCAGCGGCCAGGCTAGGGGGCCACGCATGGCGCCGCGTCCGACCGGAGCTTCTCAACCGCCGGCCCCGCCGCGCGCCCGAGGACCCCTCCGGCCCAAGCGCAGGGCGTGGACGCAGCGCCGCCCTCCCCTCCCCGACCGCTGACACCCGCCCCATCAGGCCGGCTCCCCCAGGCCGCGCCCGCCTCCCCCGCCGCCGCCGCCGCCGCTGCGGCGGCAAGGCACACCCCGGGGCGGCCCCAGCCCGCGCCACCCCGAGCGCCCCCGCCGGGCAGCCAGTGCCGCGCAGCGGCCGCGAGACTGGGCGCCCGCGCCTGCGCACTGCAAGGAGCCCGCTCGCGCCCCCGCGTCCTCCGCGTGTGGCTCTGGGGCGGCGTGGGCGCGTTCTCAGGCCGGAGACCGGCGGAGCGCACCGGAGTGGCGCACCCGGCCCTGGGGGTCTGGCGGCGCGGGGGAGGGGAGCTGCGGGGAACCGATGCGGGAACGCGGCGGAGCGGGACAGGGGCGAAGGGAAGGGGCAGGCGGCGAGCGGGTCACCCTGAGTGGTGCAGAGTCCGGGCGGAGGCGCGGAAGCCTCCGGGAGGACGCGGCTCGGGGAGGCGTGGAGGAGAGGGCTGGCAGAATGAAACTGGGATGACCTGGTGTAGGGTCACGGAGCAGCCGGAAGACCATGGGAAAGTTCCATGCGCTCTCCTCCTGAGATTTCGTGAACATCTGCGCCGGCACCGCGGGAAACCATCCGGCCCTCTCGTGGGCGCTGGCGGGGTGGGGGCAGTGCAGAGTTCTGTGGACTCCTAGGTATTTTCACCGGACTCACTTCAGTTGGCTCACAAAACGAAAGCAAGCAAAAACCTCAACAATCAAGATAAAATTTCAGTGCAATTTTAAGAATTTTAAGAAATCAAG